GACGTTTCGGCCACAACGCAAGCAGCCGTCCTCAGATTCTGTTTTCTCGACAGACCTGTTCTTCACCTGAGGACGGCTGCTTGCGTTGTGGCCGAAACGTCGTGATAATTATTGTATTATGTTTTATTTTTATTATTTTATTATTTCCATTCTACGTGACTTTACCGAAAGAACCAAGAACATTGCCCATAAGCTTGCGGTAGTTCAACGGTATTGGTTCAAGGGAGCCTCACTCTGCCGACGAGACACCGGGCTATTGCTTGCGTCGAACCAAGGCAAGTTTGCACTCCCCAGAAGGAGGAGGCTGACGGGATGCGTCAAAGCATGTTTTTGTTTTAAGTCGAGCTGTCTCACCATCGCAAATGGCCTCACAGCCGCAGTGGGTGAACATCTGGACGGGTTTCGGCTTCGCTGTGTCTCATCAGTAGGGTGTGGCCCGTTACACAATTGCCGCTGGGTTTGCCGGTCGGTGTTCGAGGCGAGCACTCGGCGTAGCTCCCAGGGCGCGGGGAGGGATTAGAGCAATACCAGTAAATATCACAAAGCGAAATGAATTCCCTTTTTGAAATTTTAAATATTCCACTGTCACAAGCGAGCGATTTAAGCGCGCGCTCCATGCATAGCAATGACCACGTGCCTCGTTGTCTACGTGTGCATGCGGGGGGGGGGGGCTCGGGGTAGCGCACCAGCAGCCGAGACGTCCACACCTCGAGGAGGAGGAGGGCAGCTGCGGGTGCACGTGCGTCGCTCCTTCCTATAGACCTCTGTACGAGTCTGTGGGTCTGCACGTGAGTGTTTAAGGGTTCTCTGTGAATCCATAGATCTTTGTCTTTTGTATGGCTCTGTATGCGAATCAATAAATCTTTGTGCGAGTCGATCAGTCTCTCCGCGAGTCTATGGGTGTCAGTGGGAATCTATAGCTGCGTGAGTCTATCAGTCTCTACGTGAGTCTATGGGTCTCCATGTGAGTCTATCAGTCTCTACGTGAGTCTATGCGTCTCAATGTGAGTCTATGGGTCTCAATATGAGTCTATGCGTCTCCATGTGAGTCTATGGGTCTCATGTGAGTCTATCAGTCTCCATGTGAGTCTATGGGTCTCCATGTGAGTCTATGGGTCTCATGTGAGTCTGTCAGTATCCACGTGAGTCTATGGGTCTCAATGTGAGTCCATGCGTCTCAATGTGAGTCTATGGGTCTCCATGTGAGTCTATCAGTCTCTACGTGAGTCTATGGGTCTCCATGTGAGTCTATGGGTCTCGATGTGAGTTTATGGGTCTCAATGTGAGTCTATGGGTCTCAATGTGAGTCTATGGGTCTCAATGTGAGTCTATGGGTCTCGATATGAGTCTATGGTCGCAATGTGAGTCTATGGGTCTCTATGTGAGTCCATGGGTCTCTATGTGAGTCTATGAGTCTCGATATGAGTCTATGGGTCTCAATGCGAGTCTATGGGTCTCTATGTGAGTTTATGGGTCTCTATGTGAGTCTATGGGTCTCGATATGAGTCTATGGGTCTCAATGCGAGTCTATGGGTCTCTATGTGAGTTTATGGGTCTCTATGTGAGTCTATGGGTCTCTATGTGAGTTTATGGGTCTCTATGTGAGTCTATGGGTCTCGATATGAGACTATGGGTCAGATGATTGCGTCGCCGCCGAGTCGTAGGCCGTTCAATGGGCCAGTTCTGGGTGGCCAGTCTGCACAGCACTGCCACAGAGCATGCCTCTGTTACCTGTGGGCACTGATGCGATCACGTCCCGTCGATTTGTGATGCATTCCTTATCCAAAAGGCACGGCCCACATTTCATGAACATTAACAACAATAATGCTACTGATTTACAGAAGCCTTGTTCATCCACTGCCGGATAAAGGCCTCTCCATGAGCCCCGTCTCCCGTGTTAGCGATAGTGTTCGTGAGAGGGCTCGAGGCGGCGGGGAGAGGGAGGTTGTGGAGAGTGTGGGGAGGAGAGGGAGAGTGTGGGGAGGAGAGGGGGGAGTGTGGGGAGGCGAGGGGAGAGTGTGGGGAGGAGAGGGGGGAGTGTGGGGAGGAGAGGGGAGAGTGTGGGGAGGAGAGGGGGGAGTGTGGGGAGGCGAGGGGAGAGTGTGGGGAGGAGAGGGGGGAGTGTGGGGAGGAGAGGGGAGAGTGTGGGGAGGAGAGGGGGGAGTGTGGGGAGGCGAGGGGAGAGTGTGGGGAGGAGAGGGGGGAGTGTGGGGAGGAGAGGGGAGAGTGTGGGGAGGAGAGGGGGGAGTGTGGGGAGGCGAGGGGAGAGTGTGGGGAGGAGAGGGGGGAGTGTGGGGAGGAGAGGGGGGAGTGTGGGGAGGAGAGGGGGGAGTGTGGGGAGGAGAGGGGGGAGTGTGGGAGGAGAGGGAGAGTGTGGGGAGGAGAGGGGGGAGTGTGGGGAGGAGAGGGGGGAGTGTGGGGAGGAGAGGGAGAGTGTGGGGAGGAGAGGGGAGAGTGTGGGGAGGAGAGGGGGTAGTGTGGGGAGGAGAGGGGAGAGGTGTGGGGAGGAGAGGGGGGAGTGTGGGGAGGAGAGGGGAGAGTGTGGGGAGGAGATGGGGGGAGTGTGGGGAGGCGAGGGGGGAGTGTGGGGAGAGAGGAGTGGGGGGAGGGGTGAGTGGGGGAGGAGAGGGGGGAAGTGTGGGGAGGAGAGGGGGGAGTGTGGGGAGGAGAGGGGAGGAGTGTGGGGCAGGAGAGGGTGGGAGTGTGGGGAGGCGAGGGGGGGAGTGTGGGGAGGAGAGGGGGGAGTGTGGGGAGGAGAGGGGGAGAGTGTGGGGAGGAGAGGGATGAGTGTGGGGAGGAGAGGGGGAGTGTGGGGAGGAGGGGGGGGAGTGTGGGGAGGAGAGGGGGGATGGGGGAGTGTGGGGAGGAGAGGGTAGAGTGTGGGGAGGATGAGGGAGAGTGTGGGGAGGAGGGGGGGAAGTGTGGGAGGAGAGGGGGGAGTGTGGGGGAGGGGGGGGGGCGTGTGTGGGAGGAGAGGGGAGAGTGTGGGGAGGAGAGGGGGGAGTGTGGGGAGGAGAGGGGGGAGTGTGGGGAGGAGAGGGGGGAGGGTGGGGAGGAGAGGGGGGAGTGTGGGGAGGAGAGGGAGAGTGTGGGGAGGAGAGGGGGGAGTGTGGGGAGGAGAGGGGGGGAGTGTGGGAGGAGAGGGGAGAGATGTGGGGAGGAGAGGGGGGAGAGTGTGGGGAGGAGAGGGGGGAGTGTGGGGAGGAGAGGGGGGAGTGTGGGGAGGAGAGGGGGAGAGTGTGGGGAGGAGAGGGGGGGAGTGTGGGGAGGAGAGGGGAGAGTGTGGGGAGGAGAGGGGGGAGTGTGGGGAGGAGAGGGGAGAGTGTGGGGAGGAGAGGGGGAGTGTGGGGAGGAGAGGGGGGGAGTGTGGGGAGGAGAGGGGGGAGTGTGGGAGGAGAGGGGGAGAGTGTGGGGAGGAGAGGGGGGGAGTGTGGGGAGGAGAGGGAGAGTGTGGGGAGGGAGGGGAGTGTGGGAGGAGAGGGGGAGTGTGTGGAGGAGAGGGGGGAGTGTGGGGAGGAGAGGGGAGAGTGTGGGGAGGAGAGGGGGGAGTGTGGGGAGGAGAGGGGGAGTGTGGGGAGGAGAGGGGGGAGTGTGGGGAGGAGAGGGGAGAGTGTGGGAGGAGAGGGGGGAGTGTGGGGAGGAGAGGGGGGAGTGTGGGGAGGAGAGGGGAGAGTGTGGGGAGGAGAGGGGGGAGTGTGGGGAGGAGAGGGGGGAGTGTGGGGAGGAGAGGGGGGAGTGTGGGGAGGAGAGGGGGGAGTGTGGGGAGGAGAGGGGGGGAGTGTGGGGAGGAGAGGGGGGAGTGTGGGGAGGAGAGGGGGGAGTGTGGGGAGGAGAGGGGGGAGTGTGGGGGGAGAGGGGGGAGTGTGGGGAGGAGAGGGAGAGTGTGGGGAGGAGAGGGGAGAGTGTGGAGGAGGGGGGGGAGTGTGGGGAGGAGAGGGGGGAGTGTGGGGAGGAGAGGGGAGAGTGTGGGGAGGAGAGGGAGAGTGTGGGGAGGAGGGGAGAGTGGGGGAGGAGAGGGGGGAGTGTGGGGAGGAGAGGGGGGAGTGTGTGGAGGAGAGGGGAGAGTGTGGGGAGGAGAGGGGAGAGTGTGGGGAGGAGAGGGGAGAGTGTGGGGAGGAGAGGGGAGAGTGTGGGGAGGAGAGGGGAGAGTGTGGGGAGGAGAGGGGAGAGTGTGGGGAGGAGAGGGGAGAGTGTGTGGAGGAGAGGGGGAGAGTGTGGGGAGGAGAGGGGGAGAGTGTGGGGAGGAGAGGGGGGAGTGTGGGGAGGAGAGGGAGAGTGTGGGGAGGAGAGGGAGAGTGTGGGGAGGAGAGGGGAGAGTGTGGGGAGGAGAGGGGGGAGTGTGGGGAGGAGAGGGGGAGTGTGTGGAGGAGAGGGGAGAGTGTGGGGAGGAGAGGGGGAGTGTGGGGAGGAGAGGGGAGAGTGTGGGGAGGAGAGGGAGAGTGTGTGGAGGAGAGGGGGAGTGTGGGGAGGAGAGGGGAGAGTGTGGGGAGGAGAGGGGAGAGTGTGGGGAGGAGAGGGGAGAGTGTGGGGAGGAGAGGGAGGAGTGTGGGGAGGAGAGGGGGTAGTGTGTGGAGGAGGGGGGGGAGTGTGGGGAGGAGAGGGGGGAGTGTGGGGAGGAGAGGGAGAGTGTGGGAGGAGAGGGAGAGTGTGGGGAGGAGAGGGGGGAGTGTGGGGAGGAGAGGGAGAGTGTGGGGAGGAGAGGGGGGAGTGTGGGGAGGAGAGGGGGTAGTGTGTGGAGGAGGGGGGGAGTGTGGGGAGGAGAGGGGGGAGTGTGGGGAGGAGAGGGGGGAGTGTGGGGAGGAGAGGGGGGTAGTGTGTGGAGGAGGGGGGGAGTGTGGGGAGGAGAGGGGGGAGTGTGGGGAGGAGGGGGGAGAGTGTGGGGAGGAGAGGGGGGAGTGTGGGGAGGAGAGGGGGGAGTGTGGGGAGGAGAGGGAGAGTGTGGGGAGGAGAGGGGAGAGTGTGGGGAGGAGAGGGGAGAGTGTGGGGAGGAGAGGGGAGAGTGTGGGGAGAAGAGGGGGGAGTGTGGGGAGGAGAGGGGAGAGTGTGGGGAGGAGAGGGGAGAGTGTGGGGAGGAGAGGGAGAGTGTGGGGAGGAGAGGGGAGAGCAGGTAGAAGGGAGAGTGGGGAGGCGAGGGCGATACGAGGGAGACGCGCTGCGCTTTCATCTCCATCCTGCGACCCCCCCCCCGTGCACCACCCCCCACGGCCCCTCCCCCCTCCCGGTCCCCTTCCCCCTCCCCCGCCGCCGTCTGCAGGGTAATGACGTCAGCGCTATTTCTGTGCGCTCCCCCGTGACCAAACCTCCCCCGCGCGAACTCCGCAGCCTCCTCCTCTTGCTGCTGCTGATGATGATGCTGCTGCTGATGATACTGCTGCTCATGATGCTGATGATGATGCTGCTGATGATGATGCTGATGCTGTTGCTGCTGTTGTTGCTGCTAACATTGCTATTGCTGCTGTTGCTGCTGCTGATGATGCTGCTGCTGCTGATGATACTCCTGCTGCTGCTGCTGATGCTGCTGCTGCCGTCTCGCTCTTACGGGCGCTGTCTGGCGCACTGTACCCCCCGGCACTCGCGGGTGACTCTCCGACAGCGTCTCCAGCTGCTCCCTCCCGCGAGATGGAGCGTCGCCTCCTCTTGCTGGGGGGGCGGGGCTGGGACGGACAGCGGGGGGGGCGAGGGGAGGGGCTATCGCTGCTCGTGATGATGGTGGTGCCAATGCTGCTGCTGAGAATGTAATGTGCAGCAGCAATAATATCAGCAATGTTAGCAGCAATAGCAGCTAGCAACAGCAGCAACAGCAGCAGCAACAACAGCAGCAGCAACAGCAATAGGAGCGACAACAGCAGCAACTGCAGCACCAACAGCAGCAGCAACAGCAGCAACAGCAATAGCAGCAGCAACAATGTTAGCAGCAACAGCAGCAGCAATGTTAGCAGCAGCAGCAATGTTAGCAGCAGCAACAATGTTAGCAGCAACAGCAGCAGCAATGTTAACAGCAGCAGCAATGTTAACAGCAGCAGCAATGTTAGCAGTAACAGCAGCAGCAATGTTAGCAGCAGCAACAATGTTAGCAGCAGCAGCAATGTTAGCAGCAGCAGCAGCAATGTTAGCAGCAGCAGCAATGTTAGCAGCAGCAGCAGCAATGTTAGCAGCAACAGCAGCAGCAATGTTAGCAGCAGCAGCAGCAATGTTAGCAGCAGCAGCAGCAATGTTAGCAGTAACAGCAGCAGCAATGTTAGCAGCAGCAGCAATGTTAGCAGCAGCAGCAGCAGCAATGTTAGCAGCAGCAGCAATGTTAGCAGCAGCAGCAGCAATGTTAGCAGCAGCAGCAGCAATGTTAGCAGCAGCAGCAGCAATGTTAGCAGCAGCAGCAGCAATGTTAGCAGCAGCAGCAGCAATGTTAGCAGCAACAGCAGCAGCAATGTTAGCAGCAGCAGCAGCAGCAATGTTAGCAGCAACAGCAGCAGCAATGTTAGCAGCAGCAGCAGCAGCAATGTTAGCAGCAACAGCAGCAGCAATGTTAGCAGCAGCAGCAGCAATGTTAGCAGTAACAGCAACAGCAATGTTAGCAGCAGCAGCAGCAATGTTAGCAGTAACAGCAGCAGCAATGTTAGCAGTAACAGCAGCAGCAATGTTAGCAGCAGCAGCCGCAATGTTAGCAGCAGCAGCAATGTTAGCAGCAACAGCAGCAGCAATGTTAGCAGCAGCAGCAATGTTAGCAGCAACAGCAGCAGCAATGTTAGCAGCAGCAGCAATGTTAGCAGCAACAGCAGCAGCAATGTTAGCAGCAATGTTAGCAGCAGCAACAGCAGCAATGTTAGCAGCAGCAGCAATGTTAGCAGCAGCAGCAGCAATGTTAGCAGCAGCAGCAATGTTAGCAGCAACAGCAGCAGCAATGTTAGCAGCAATGTTAGCAGCAGCAACAGCATCAATGTTAGCAGCAGCAGCAATGTTAGCAGTAACAGCAGCAGCAATGTTAGCAGCAGCAGCAATGTTAGCAGCAACAGTAGCAATGTTAGCAGCAGCAGCAATGTTAGCAGCAACAGCAGCAGCAATGTTAGCAGCAACAGTAGCAATGTTAGCAGCCGCAGCAATGTTAGCAACAGCAGCAATGTTAGCAGCAACAGTAGCAATGTTAGCAGCAGCAGCAATGTTAGCAGCAACAGCAGCAGCAATTGTAGCAGCAACAGCAATGTTAGCAGCAACAGCAGCAATGTTAGCAGCAGCAGCAATGTTAGCAGCAACAGCAGCAATGTTAGCAGCAGCAGCAATGTTAGTAGCAGCAGCAGCAGCAGCAATGTTAGCAGCAAGCAGCAATGTTAGCAGCAACAGCAGCAGCAGCAATGTTAGCAACAGCAGCAATGTTAGCAGCAGCAGCAATGTTAGCAGCAACAGCAGCAATGTTAGCAGCAACAGCAGCAATGTTAGCAGCAACAGCAGCAGCAATGTTATCAGCAGCAGCAGCAATGTTAGCAGCAGCAGCAGCAATGTTAGCAGCAGCAGCAGCAATGTTAGCAGCAGCAGCAATGTTAGCAGTAACAGCAGCAGCAATGTTAGCAGCAGCAGCAATGTTAGCAGCAACAGCAGCAGCAATGTTAGCAGCAGCAGCAATGTTAGCAGCAGCAGCAATGTTAGCAGCAACAGCAGCAGCAATGTTAGCAGCAACAGCAGCAGCAATGTTAGCAGCAGCAGCAGCAATGTTAGCAGCAACAACAATGTTAGCAGCAACAGCAGCAGCAATGTTAGCAGCAACAGCAGCAGCAACAATGTTAGCAGCAACAGCAGCAGCAATGTCAGCAGCAACAGCAGCAGCAATGTTAGCAGCAACAGCAGCAGCAATGTTAGCAGCAACAGCAATGTTAGCAGCAACAGCAGCAGCAACAATGTTAGCAGCAACAGCAGCAGCAATGTTAGCAGCAGCAGCAATGTTAGCAGCAGCAATGTTAGCAGCAGCAGCAGCAATGTTAGCAGCAACAGCAGCAATGTTAGCAGCAACAGCAGCAATGTTAGCAGCAGCAACAATGTTAGCAGCAGCAGCAGCAATGTTAGCAGCAACAGCAGCAATGTTAGCAGCAACAGCAGCAATGTTAGCAACAGCAGCAATGTTAGCAGCAGCAACAATGTTAGCAGCAGCAGCAATGTTAGCAGCAGCAGCAGCAATGTTAGCAGCAGCAGCAATGTTAGCAGCAACAGCAGCAGCAGCAATGTTAGCAGCAGCAGCAGCAATGTTAGCAGCAGCAGCAATGTTAGCAGCAGCAGCAATGTTAGCAGCAGCAGCAGCAATGTTAGCAGCAGCAACAATGTTAGCAGCAGCAGCAATGTTAGCAGCAACAGCAGCAATGTTAGCAGCAACAGCAGCAATGTTAGCAGCAGCAGCAGCAATGTTAGCAGCAACAGCAGCAATGTTAGCAGCAGCAGCAGCAATGTTAGCAGCAGCAGCAGTAGCAGCAATGTTAGCAGCAGCAACAATGTTAGCAGCAGCAGCAATGTTAGCAGCAGCAGCAGCAATGTTAGCAGCAACAGCAGCAATGTTAGCAGCAGCAACAATGTTAGCAGCAGCAGCAATGTTAGCAGCAGTAGCACCAATGTTAGCAGCAACAGCAGCAATGTTAGCAGCAGCAGCAGCGGCATTGTCGTGGTCGTTGTTGTCGAGTCTGCAGAGCGGGAAGCTTGGGGTTAAAAGCCACCGATTTTCCAGGAATATCCGACGCGCGAGTGTGTGGTGAGCGTGGTGAGGGTGGTGAGTGTGTGTAGTGAGTTTGTGGTGAGCGTGAGTGTGTGGTGAGCGTGGTGAGGGTGCGTGTGTGGTGAGCGTGAGTGTGTGGTGAGCGTGGTGAGGGTGCGTGTGTGGTGAGCGTGAGTGTGTGGTGAGCGTGGTGAGCGTGTGGTGAGTGTGTGGTGAGCGTGGTCAGTGTGTGGTGAGCGTGTGTAGTGAGTGTGTGTGAGCGTGTGTAGTGAGTGTGTGGTGAGTGTGTGGTGAGCGTGCTGAGTGTGTGGTCAGCGTGTGTAGTGAGTTTGTGGTGCGTGTGTGGTGAGTGTGTGGTGAGCGTGAGTGTGTGGGTGAGCGTGTGTGGTGAGTGTGTAGTGAGTGTGTGGTGAGTGAGTGTGTGGTGAGCGTGGTGAGCGTGTGTAGTGAGCGTGTGGTGAGTGTGTGGTGAGCGTGGTGAGTTTGTGGTGAGCGTGTGTAGTGAGTGTGTGGTGAGCGTGTGTAGTGAGTGTGTGGTGAGCGTGTGTAGTGAGTGTGTGGTGCGTGTGTGGTGAGTGTGCGTGTGTGGTGAGTGTGAGTGTGTGGTGAGCGTGGTGAGTGTGCTTGTGTGTTTAGTGAGTGTGTGGTGAGCGTGTGTAGTGTGTGTGTAGTGAGCGTGTGGTGAGCGTGTGTAGTGAGTGTGTGGTGTGTGCGTGTGTGTGTGTGGTGAGTGTGCGTGTGTGGTGAATGTGTGGTGAGTGAGTGTGTGGTGAGTGTGTGGTGATTGTGCGTGTAGCCATTCGAATAACTGGTGAATGGGGCATCTGTGTGCGTGTGGAGCATGTGTCTGATATGCGTGTGGTGTGTATGTGTGTGTCTGATATGTGTGGAGTGTATGTGTGCGTGTACGTGTGTCTGATATGTGTGTGGAGTGTATGTGTGCGTGAAGTGTGTGTGCATGTGTGTGTGTGTGTGCGTGGGGTGCGGTAGTGTAGCGGCTAACGCGCTGCGCTATGAACACGACAACCCGAGTTTAATACTCACTCACGGCCAACACCAGCGACGATTATCTGAACCGGTCCTGGGCCTCCCCTATGTCGACTCAGCCTTAAATGAGTAACTGGTGGGGTTTGTAAACATCGCCACAGGGGAGACAAAGGCGGCCGGGCGCGGTGCTGGCTACCCACCCCCTCGTGTACCGTTCCGGCCTTCATAGGTGTTCACTAACAGCACTTGCCCCTACAGTCTGTTAAGGCTATACGGGGGGTCTTTGGTGCATGTGGGTTGCGTTGACTTTGCATGCATTTCGATGATTTTGCTGCGATAAATGCCCACGTGACAAGACACTGCGTTGAGCTATCATTTGTGGCCAGGTCGCTTCTGAAAGAAGAAGCTAATAGCTCAGTTGGCTTTACCGGGTAAGATTAACGAACAGTTTAGATGTATTTGTGTATATTCTATGTAAGTGATGCGTTTACCTTTGCAAAACTTCGCGCTGCTGCCGTGTGTCTGTGACCCGCCCCTACTGGACATCTGTACACAAGAGCTTCCGAGCTCATCGGATTCCTCCTGCAGAGTGAATACGTCACCACGGAGTCAACATACACTCATTCACACTCACTCACTCTCACTCACACACACTCACTCACTCACTCTCACTCACTCACACTCTCACTCACTCACATTCACTCACACTCACTCACACTCAGTCACACTCACACTCAGTCACACTCAGACTCACTCACTCTCACTCACTCACTCACACTCACTCACTCACACTCAGTCACACTCACACTCAGTCACACTCACACTCAGTCACACTCAGACTCACTCACCCTCACTCACTCACACTCACTCACACTCACTCACACTCAGTCACTGCGAGGTCATATGCACCTTGAGGCCACGTGAAGTGTCGAACGCCCGCTGGCAGGAGGTCACGGGGCAGACCCAGGTGCCACGGGTCGACTGACTGAGATGACCAAGATGACTGGCTGATGCACCACCTGTGCCCCCTACTGTGCCAACTTGCTGTGCTTTCGCCACTCAGTCACATACACTCACTCACACTCAGTCACACTCACACACAGTCACATACACTCAGTCACACTCAGTTAATATACACTCATTCACACTCACTCACATTCAGTCACACTCACTCACTCACTCACACATTCGATACACATACGGTATAGAGATCCCCGTATAGTCTTGAAGTATGGTCAAACAAGCCTCGGCCGAGTGGAGGCATTCATCCAGCAGTGGATTTGCTGTAAACCGCTATCCGAACGGTTCTACTCACATACATACTGCGTGAACCACCCGCGTCGCGGTGGTAACTCGCACATAACCCCCTCGCCTGCCCCCCTCACCTGCCCCCCTCAACTGCCCCCCTCACCTGCCCCTCTCACCTGCACCTCTCACCTGCACCTCTCACCTGCCCCCCTCGCCTGCCCCTCTCGCCTGCCCCCCTCACCTGCCCCCCTCACCTGCCCCCCTCACCTGCCCCCTCACCTATCCCCAACTCGTCCGGTAGCGGACATCATCGCATTACTCTCCCTGGCGCCCCCCCCTCTCCCTCTCGTGCTCCCGTCTCCCAGTGGCCCCTCCCCCATCGCCCTCCCCCTCTCTCATCTCGATGCCTCTCCTTCTAAAATATTCCTCTCTCTTCATTCCTCCCCCTCTCTCCCCCTCTCTCATCTCTATGCCGCTCTTCACTCTCCACCGTTCTCTGCATCTGCATGTCCTCTCTCCCTCCCTCATCCCAATCTCGCTTCCTCCCCGTCTCTCCCCTCCTTTCCTCCCTCCCCCTCCCGCTCTCCACCTCCTCTCCCCTCCCCTCGAGAGCCGCGACTCTCCTCTGCACGAGGCGACATCAAAGGGAGCCGATTCGCTGTCTAGACACAGGAATGGGGGGGGGGGGGCTAATAGCTTGAGTGTGTGCGCCTCCACGCGTGCGAGTGTGGGGAGCGGTGGCGCAGTGGCTGCAGCGCTCAGCTACGCTCACGGCCAACACGGGTGACCCTTATCTGAACCGGTCCCCTTGCCTCCCCAGGTCGACTCGGCCTCAAATGAGTACCTTGATGGGTGCTGGCCACGCACCACCTCGTGTGCCGTGCCGGCTTTCATCGGCGCTCGCCAACAGCACTTGCCCCGAAATAATGTTGAGGCTATACGGGGGATGTCTGTCTGTGTGCGTGTGAGTTTGGCCGTGCGCGTGTGAATGAAGCGTGTTTGTGTGTTAATTCTTGTGCCGGTGTCAAATTAACGAGTGTGAGAATGCGTCTGTGTGTGTGCACGTGCTTCTGCGTTTGTCAGTGTGTCACAGGCACATACATACATACAAAGATCCCCCGTATCGCCTTTAGAAGACCGTTGGGACAAGTGCTGTTAGCGAGTGGCACCTATGAAGGCTGGCACGGCACATGAGGGGGTGGGTGGCCGGCACCACGACCGGCCGCCTTTGTCTCCCCCGTGGCGATGTTTACGCTCCGCACCAGACACTCGAGCGCATTCCGTTCGCAGTGGCATCTGCAAGTGAACTCTGCCCTCTAGTGTGTGCGCGTGAGCTGTGATTCAACATCAACATCGGTGACGTCAACTGCACCGTCGCCACCGAACGGTGTCCGCTCCTCGCTGCCTCTCTCGCTGTTCACGATCAGAGGAAACAAGAAGATGCTCGGGGTAGTCGTTCATCATTTCGTTTTTAGCTTTTTTCAATGTTTCGCTTTATGTGCCCCCCCCCCTTTTTAAATGAAAGATTTCACAAAAGATGTCACGCTTTGCTCTCCCCCTTCTTACCCCTTCCCGCTCTGCTCCCTCTCTCTTTTTTGTCTCTTTTTTCGAGTTTTCATCTGTTTGTTTGTTTAATGGTCATAGTAAGTGCACATTACAAATCAGCTTGTTGCACAGCGTGCTCCCAACAGACCAATTGCATTTTAGAGGGGCATTAACACAAAGCCCACACCACTGGTTAACCAACCATACTGGTAGCAAGGGGAGGGGGGGAAAGTAAATTGCTTTACACCAGAAAATTATTTCACGTAAAAAAAAAACTAAGACCACCACAATTCACAGGGAAGTGTCTCCCTCCCCTCTTGAGCCATGGACGGGATGCATGTTGGATACATGTTGGATACATGTTGAGGGCACGGCAACTCCTGAACACCTCACGCGTCTGGCTGACTGGGGGTGGGGGGGGGTACCGGGTGGGGGGGGGGGCACCTCTCTCGAGTCACGACTCTGCTCGGACCCCCCCACCCTCCCCACCCCCTGTTGTTACAGCTACAGCAATAGCTGTAGCTGTAACAACAGCTACTACTGTCGCTGCAGTAGCTGTAGCTACGGAGAGGAGGTGGGTCGTCTGCCCAATTCGTGTTGTTATTCTGTTGTTTTTATTCATACAATGTGTCAACTGGTATCGCTGCGTCTGCACCGCCACCGCACTCGTAGAGAGAGAGGGGAGGGGGAGACTCATAGGCGCCAGAAGGAGGAACCACAGACGAGGAGCGGGAAGGCACCTCCGATTAGCGCGGTTGGCTACGTACGGTGCTAAAGAAGTTCAACATCCATACCTACATGCGGAGTCCACGTTGAACTCTATCGCCGTCTCCTGGCGAGCCAGGGAAACGGCTCATCCTGGAAGGGAGTTTCACGCCGTCTGTGTGGTGATCCACCAACCCTCGTGCTCGATAACAGGACACGTGCCTGGCCACCACCACTACGCTGCCTGAGTTGGTGCTCGAGTCAGGCTCTGAGTCAGGCTCTGAGTCAGGCTCTGAGTCAGGCTCTGAGTCAGGCTCTGAGTCAGGCTCTGAGTCAGGCTCTGAGTCAGGCTCTGGTTGAACCGACGCTGGTGGAACTGCGCGATGTGTATGCGCAAGGGCCCCCTTCTCTCTCTAAGCGACAACATTAATAAGCAGACAATTCGCCTCCTGCACACGTGTTCACGCACAGAACACGTGCTATGTTTTGACACATCCCATCAGGTATACGCAGCGTGCGTGGGACCTTCGTAACGATCAGACAAACACGCGATTGGTCTAAGTTTGAGACAACGAACGAAGGCGTGCACACAGACGCACGGCCTCTGTGCGTCGTGCAAAAACATCATCGGCTCCCGGGGACTGCACTGTGATCGCTGCTTGTTCTCTGACCTCAACATGAATTTTATGAGATGTGGTCGACTGGCAGCAGCAGCAGGAGTGGCGCAGTGAGGGGCAACCGCTTGACCGGTTTCACCCTTACCTGGGACTCATCAGCACAGTAGCCAGCAGGGAACGAAACGCGGCATGCAACGTAACGGGAACGTGTCCCGCACCACACCGCACTCGCCTCCATCCTCGAGACCAAGGACCAGGACCGTGATAAGGGAAAACAATACTACTACAGTATATACATAATAGGCGACGTTTCAGGCGATGGGCCTTCATCGCATCAAATGGGAGATGATGGTGATGATGATAATGGATGACGATACGTGAATGTGGATGATGATGAATTGATCATTCCGAGTAGGTGACGACGATGGTGATGATTAGGAAAGATGTGAACGGATGATGACGATGATGGCGACACATTGTGAACGAGTGGGGCGATGGAGAGACGTGACGATGAGCAGCGTGGGTGACCGCGATGAATATTTGACCGCGTGAGTCACGGAGTGCAGCCGCTGCTTCTCCTGCATAGACGAGACCTCATTAGAAAGGGTCGGCCTGTGCCACACACACACGCACACACAAAGACAAAGGTCCCGCGTATAGACTGTTGGGGCAAGTGTTGTTTGCGATAAGCACTTATGAGAGGCGGCACGGCACACCAGAGGATGGGGTGGACAAAACCACGCCAGGTCACCACCTTTGTCTCCCCAGTGCTAACGTTTACGCACCACCACGTCAGGTACTCATTTGAGGCTGAGTCGACCTAGGGGTAGCCCAGGAACGGTTCAGATAATCGTCATTGGTGTTGATCGTGAAAGAAACCCGAACTGGGGTCTGGCCACCACTCCCTACACACGGACACACAAACACTTCAACGCGTGCATCAATAACACTGGCTTAATAGGAATACTAAATTACGTGAATATATATTGTATATATTTATTATTATTTTTAAGGCCACACAGTGGTGGTGTTGTTGTTATTGTCGAATGTGCCCGAGTGCTTCTTGTGTGTTGTGCTTGTGCACCACTGCCTATGCAGCAGCAGCAGCGGCGGCGGCGGCGGCGGTAGCATCGCCAGATGATGTTTAATACGCGGAGACTGACAAACACCGCACAGCGCCTTGCTCACCCCACCCCTTCTCCCGCCCCTCGCCACCCAACGGTATCCATCGCACGCATGCGCGAAGCTGCACAAGGGCAGGCAGTGTGCGACACTCCTAGCCATCACACAGCCCGCCACCAACACCGCCCCATCAGCAGCCACCATCACACATAGCTAACTAATCACCATCACCGCACCATCACCAGCCACCATCACCATCACACAGTACGAGCTAGCCACCACCACCACCACCGCACCATCATCACTCTCACATCGCTGTCACCACCACACACTATCAGCCGTCACCACCATCGCACCATTACCACAACCAGCCCTTCATTCATTCATCCGTTATCGGAGCAGCGGACACGCGCTAATCGGCAGGTGGGTGTCGACTGCACAATCGCAACCACGTTAACAATCACAGCAGCAGCAGCAATAACATCAGCCTAGCAGTAGTGGGGACAGCAACACTAGCAGCAACAGCAGTCTTGGTAACAGAAAACATCAGCGGGTGTAATAGCGGCGAGACAGCTGCAGTGGTAGCAGCAGCAGCAGCAGCATTGTCAAACGGCAGGCGCGTGTGTCGCTACAGCGCCGACTCACTGTGTAAACACCCCGGGGTTAAACACAGCGCTCGCGGCCTGCTTGTCAGTATGTCTTGGGGGCTGTGGGACGGCGATCGAATCGCCACTATAGCCAGCGACGGCGGCTCAGATTAAGTACAAACACATACACGGGATGTGTTTTTCTACGAGTGAAATCCCGGTACGAAATCCGCGATAATTCCAAAAATCCGCGAGAGTTTCAGCACCACGGAGCGCTAGACAGCGCCCCTTGCTGCGTCAAGACAAAGGTCACCCGTGTAGCCTGTAACAGACTTCATATTCTTTGGGTCTTTCGGTTAAGTCACGTAGATAGGTTCAAAGAAAATAAAAAAAACTACGACGTTTCGATCGCAACACAAGCGTTCGTCATCAGGCTCTTCCTGTTATTGTATTTGAACCTATCTACGCGACTTTACCTGCAGTCACGAAAGCTTCAAGTCAAGCTGTAACAGACTGTTGCGGCAAATGCTCTTAGCGGATCCCCCGGCACGGCACACGAGGGGGGGGGGGGGTGTGGCGAGCACCACGCCCGGCCGCCTTTGTCTCCCCCATGCTGATGTTTACTACACACCGTTCCAGGTACTCATTTTAGGCCGAGTCGACCCAAGGGGAGGCCCAGGACCGATTCAAATATTCGCTGCCGCTGTTTTTGGCCCTGAGCGGAAATCGAACTCTGATCGCCTGGTTCGTAGCACAGTGTGCTAACCGCTGCGCCACCGCTCCCCAAGGATACGAAGGCGCCACACACGAGGCAATGCCGCTCCATCACGAGGCAGGTTCAGTGCTATATCGTCTGACCTCGCCTAGGCCCGGCATCGAACCGACATGTCCCTGTTGTCCGTGTACACTTCCTTCCCATCGCCCCGTCTAGCCCACGCAGGCTGTCGGGGCAAGTGTTGTTTGCGAGCTCCTATTTTAAACAAATTATTTTGGGGATGCTGCTGCTGCTGCTGCGTTGGCTGTGGTAGAGAAAGATAAACAACTGAAAACGTTTCTCAACAACAACACCAACACTTCTTGTGCGTATAGCCTTAAAAGCAAACACAATATAATAGATGACGTTTCGGGCAATGGCCCTTTTTCATAAGAGATAGATTAGCGCATTACTGATACCTACTAAGGCCGGTGTAACCCCAGCACCAACACCGATGGCTCTACAGCGTGTGCGCGATGCCACCAGGGCACTCGACTCATGACGGCGACCTCGAGCAGGACCAGGCCCCGGTATCACTCGCCACTGATGTCAGCCGTGACAGGGACCCCGCTCTCTGAGACAAGTGAAGGAGCTAAAGCAATCGACCATCTCTCTCTCTCGGTCAGCTCAAGCCTCCCGTGAACCACGTGACTCTTGTGTGGCCACTCCCCCTCTCCCCGCCCACTGTGAAAACAGACGCCGCTCCTCCTCCTCCTCCTCCACGCAGCTCCCTGCTGCTCGCTCCTTCATTTTCTCCTGTCCCTCTCTCCCCCTTCCTCATCATCATCACCACCACCACCCTCGCTTCATCCCCGACATCTTGGCCCAGTCATTCCTCATCCCCTCCCTGCACCACCGCTCCTCCTCCCTCCATTCTCCTCCCTCCTCCTGCTCGCTCCCCGCTGCTCATCTTGAGCCGTGCCCCCCCCCCCCTCCTCCTCGCTCCCCGCCTTGGTGGCGACTTCCGCCCCCCAGGTGCTCCCCCCTCCCCCGCTCCTCCCGCGTCTCCCACGCAGCCCCCTCCCCCCCCCTCGACTCTGCTCCCCGCGCCGCGCCGCGTGCCACGGCTACAGAGGACGAGTTTCAATGATTCTAACTCGAGCGCCATTCTCCGTTACAGAACAATCGTCGCGTAATCCCAATGCCTTCAAAAGCCGTTGCCAATAACGTTTGGCTAATAGCTCAATTTAACTGGATATGAGCTACTTATAGTTGACAACTTTAAAATCAACCATTTGGTGTACCCTCGAACTTACTTGGTCAACACAGTAAATATTGAAGCGCACGTTTCATCGCGATTTTGACGATGTTTTCCACGTGACCACGCCACCACAGACGCAGACCTTGGTGGGGGGGAGAAGCCGGGGAGGGTGAAAGGGGGGGTGGGGGGGGTCTGCAACGGAGATCACGCCGAGAGGATCACGCCGAGAGGATCACGCCGAGGGGACCCGGGGAGGGAGCAGGAGCAGGAGGAGGCGATGGACTCGAGGACCCCTGGGCGAGGGGACGCCCCTGGGCACGCGCCCCCGCGCTACGGAGTGCGCTCCTACCTGCACCAGTTCTACGACGACTGCACGGGCGGAGGCGGCGCCACCGCCTGGGACGGAGCGGCCCACGGCGGCGGCGGCGGCAGGAGGAGCAGCCACGCGGGCAAGGGCTCCTCGGGGGGGCGGGCCGCCGGCTGGCACGTCACGCTGTGGAAGGTGCGAGGGCGCGGGCGGAGCGGCTCACACCCGGCCAGGTGGCGACCCTGCTGACGGCGGTGACGCCACAAGAGAGGTGGTGACCTCACGAGACCCCTCCTACTCATAACCAGACCTCTCCTCTCCTCCCGACCCCAACCACTTCCACCGCACCTCCTCACACCGCGCCACACACCACACATTACACACACACATAACACACACACACAACACACACCACATACACATACACACACATAACACACCACACACACACCACACATTACACACACACACCACACCCCACACACACACACCACACATTACACACACACACCACACACACACACCACACCACACACACCACACACACACCACACAACACACACACATCACACACACACACATCACACACACACCACTACACACCACACACATACACACCACACACATACACACCACACACACAACACACACACACACCACACACCACACACACCACACACAGCTGTGCCTGCTGACCGGCGTGCTGGTGACGATGACCGGCGCGGCGCTGCTGGTGGCCGGGCGCGTGGTGCCGGCGCGCATCGAGGAGTTCGGCAAGGACGACTTCTTCATGGTGGACAGTCGCGCCGTCGCCTTCAACCGCGTGCTTGACACGTGCCGCCTGGCGGGCGCGGCGCTCTTCTGCCTGGGCGGCGCCGTGGCGGCCGCCTGCTGCCTGGGCTGGCTGCTGGCGCGCTGCGGGGCCGCGAGGGGACGCGCCGGGGCCCGGCACGACTACCGCTACCGACACCGCGGTCACCGCGGTGACGACGACGACGACGGTGCTGATGATGATGATGATTGTGACGCTGCTGATGATGATGATGATTGTGATGACGATGGTGATGACGCGCCAGCTGCTGCTGCTGCTGCTCCTGTTGCTGCTGCCACCGCCGATGAATGTCAGCGATTTGGCAAGAAGATGAAAAAGCGTCGCGCTGATGGTGGTGATGGTGATGGTGGTGGCGGTGATGGTGGTGATGGTGATGGCGGCAGGCAGGACACGGCGGTGAAGAAGGAGCCTACACGGGGCGTCACTCTCCATCCCAGCTCAGCCACGGCTCGTTCCGCACCCCCCTGCCCCCCCTCCCCCTCCGCCTCTCTCTCCGCTCCCGGCCACGTGATGGTGCCTTGCTCCCTCGCACGCGTTCACAACGTCCAGCCAGCGTCTTAGACACCTCGTGAGGTCGACTAGCGGGGAGGGGGGGTGGGGGTGAGGTTGACTAGCTGGGGGGGGAAGGTTGACTCGCTGGGGGGGGGGGGGGGTGAGGTTGACTAGGAAGGGGGGGGGGAGGTTGACTAGGTGGGGGGGGTGAGGTTGACTAGCTGGGGGGGGGGGGGGGATGTGCGCGTGGTTCTTCTAGGCCCCAGGTCTCTCTCCCTGGGGTCTCAATTCCGTGTTCTCACCTCCCCGTGCGCTACACAGGGTCCCGAGGCCTTCAACGCCGACTCACGCTCACTCACGAGCCGTTACTCACGAGCCGTTACTCACGAGCCGTCACTCACGAGCCGTTACTAAGGAGCCGTCACTAAGGAGCCGTCACTAAGGAGCCGTCACTAAGGAGCCGTTACTAAGGAGCCGTCACTAAGGAGCCGTTGCTAAGGAGCCGTCGCTAAGGAGCCGTTACTAAGGAGCCGTCACTCACGAGCCGTTGCTAAGGAACCGTCGCTAAGGAGCCGTTACTAAGGAGCCGTCGCACCAAGCAGACACGTGACCATCCGTTGATCCACACCGGTTCCCCTCCGCTCTGGCGACGCGCGCGAGTCCACGAGTGGCGATTCGCGATCGGAGTGCGCCAGAGCGAGGCGGCGCGGAACAAGCGAGACGCAACACCACAGACGAGACGTTACTCGCTAGGATTGCCATGTACATCCTAAACATCTGCGGGGTTATTTTTCAGACGTGCCAAGCTGTTGGGACCGAGTCTGGCCCACAATAACCACGCTCTCCTCGGATGGCGTCAAGGGCGGTCTTTAGCATCCACCGAGTAAATCCAACGGCGTTCAGGAGTAGTTGTACGGTTGTAACACACACACAGCGCAGTATTAACCAGGGTGGCCTGCCGGATTCTGACCGCAAGCCCTCTGCTTCTCCCGCCAGGCTGCGATGGGGTTGATGGGCTGGTAGGAAGGGCGCAGTCTGCAGACTTGGCAGGGTGTCTGTGGGAGCTCGCCAACACCACAGCAGCCCCACGAGCCGGGCGAATAGGTTCGGTTAAAATTAGAGTTGGTCGCGGGTTTTTTTGGGTCGCTTTCGATATTCAACGTTTACACTTTTTGTGACGCCACAGCCCTCGGAGTCGTCGCTCTAAAGCGGCTTCCTGCTGCTTCACACAGACTCCTGCTGCCTCACACAGCCTCCAGCTGCTTCACACAGACACCTGCTGCCTCATACTGACCCACACACCCACCCACTCTGCCTCGGTCGCTCGCTCACTCACAGACCGACTAAAGATCCCTCCGTATAGGCAGACTGTAGGGGCAAGTGCTGTTAGCGAGCACCTACGAAGGCCGGAACGCCACACGAGGGAGTGGGTGGCCAGCACCACGCCCGGCCGCCTTGGTCTCCCTAGTGCCGACGTTTACACGCCGCACTAGGTACTCATTTGAGGCCGAGTCGACCTAGGGGTAGCCCAGGACCGGTTCAGATAATTATCCATAATCGTCACCGGTTTTGGCCGTGAGCGGGAATCGAATTCGGGGCGCCAGGTTGGTAGCGCACACACTCACCCATGTAGTCACCCGCTCACCTCAACCACTCACTCAAATCATTTACTCAACCACTCCTCGCACAACCTCTTACTCCCAGGGTCTCCACCTTTCCCACAGAACCACAGCGGCACACGTGGACGAGTGGGCCCACGTCTATGAAACCTGTGCGCAGTCTCCTGCGATAGCGTCCAGTACTGCACTGGCAGCGCGTCTCGGTACCGATCGACCCGTGACCGCTCACACGGATGACAAATCAATTCCCGCACCGTCCGGGGTCAAACGCGGGTCAACCCGTACGGCCAGGTGGTAGCAGCAGCAGCTCTGATGAAACATTCAACGGGGGGAGGGGCAGTGGTGGTAGGGAGGGAGGGGGGGGAGGAATGATTGAGAAAGGGTCGTGATTGGTCCGTTTGGGTCTCTATGTAATTGGCGAGCCGAGTCGCTCCAGAGGCCTTGTGTGATTCGTGCTTTTGCTGTGAACATGGTCGCAATAAAAACGACGTTTAAAGACCGACCTCCAGCTCCTGTGTTCAGTGTCTGCTCAGCCTCGGTCCCGAGGGGAGAGGCGGCGTCGCACCGTGAATCGCCTCTCCGTGCGGCGTTAGCCAGCGGCCAGCGATGGCGTCAACGAAACCGCACTGCTGATGAGGAGGGGGATGGGGGAAGCCATCACACGGCAGTCCTGTCCCAAGAAGTAGGACTGCCACTTTAGGCCAAACCTCACACCAATAGACTTATGTCGGCACTAAACCTACATTTCTCTATAACCGACTTTTGTATTGAGTGGTTCTTACGCAGAGCCTCTGATCATCATGGTTGGCTACGTACGGCGCGAAAGAAGTTCACCGTACATACAAAATAAACTGTCCAGTCTTCTGCAACAAAGTTGAACACACGGCACCAAATGTCGGCACAAATCAATTCCCATCACGCGAACACCAGACGCCGATTCCCAGACTGTGCCGGGGTGAAGGCGGAAGCGTGACGAGGCGGTGGTGTGTATGGCGCCCGGTGTATGTGTGCGTGCGCGTGCGTGTGTGTGTGCGTGTGTGTGCGTGCGTGTGTGTGTGTGCGGCGTGTGTGCGTGCGTGCGTGCGTGTGTGTGTGCGTGTGTGTATGTGTGATAGTGTGCGCGTGTGTGTGTCGCCCGGTGTGAGCGGCCGACACCTCGGCTTGCCTCCCCTCCCAGCTGCGCGGCGCCTGGTTTCTGAGCCTTTAAACTCTGCACCTTGTGGGCGCGTGGCCTCCAGTCACCGGGGGCGTGGCTCTGCATGCGCCAAGCGTCACCTTCAATTAAAAGCCCCACGCACACCCAAGACAATGACTCTAAACGCCACCCATTAACTTCCCATTGTCAATGTATTCAATTAGGCTTCACTGGCATGACGGACAATTTACTCCCCGCCACCAGTTTACAATCAGTGGAAATGCCCGTACGTAATGTCCAATCACTCCAGAATTCAGCGTGTCTGGGCATGGCCTATTTCATCTCCTGCAAGTTTACCGGGCGTCCACTTGTGGGCGCTGTCCGGCATACCGACATAATAAACAGAACAAGGCCGTGAGCGCTAAAAGAGGTTTCTAACTTAATTCGCCGAGTCTCACGACCTAAAGCTGCGTGCAGCACGCACGGAGTGGAACCCGGGAATTATCACTGAAGACTAAAAACGACTCAACACGTTTGTCAACACCCCCGCCACTGTGTGTGTACGTGTGAGGATTTTAAAGGGAAACTATAAAATAGGCGACGTTTCGGGCAATGGCCATTCTTCATAGCACATGCGGCTCTTCAGCTCATGAATGAGGGTTTTTTTTCTACCTAGGGCAAACCTACGCCTTGCGCGAGGGGGTAACACTCTATCTCCGTACAGATGGAAGAGATGGCGATCAGTCCACTTGCTATGCCGCCATCTGCTGGCCGCACCTCGCCGCTCACTCGGGAAGGGAGTTTGACAGCCATGCGGGCGGTGATGCACCAACCCTCGCCACAGCTGCCTCCACAGCGCTGGGTCAGAGGCCACGTGCGGCATCGCCACCACAACTCAGCTGACATTCCAAACCACATCCAGTACAAGCAAATCGCACTTGTGTTATACTTACAGTCCTTGGTCAATCCACTGCTGGATGAAGGCCACGCTACACAGTGGTAATTGATGGAGGTTGTTTTTTTTTTACCAGACTTCACCGCGCTGCTCAGTGTGCGTTGGTTCCACGCATCACTCACCACTGACGTTAGCCGTGGTCAGGAGTCTAACGCAATGCTGCTGTGTTCACAGCGCCGTGCGCACACCACGCAGCCACTGGAAATCCAGTGAATGTGCGCATCCACGTGAATCAGCGAGGAGCGGTGGCGCAGTGGTTAGCGCACTACGTGGCCAACATCGATGGTGATTATGTGAACCAGTCTTGGCCCCCCCTAAGCCAACGCAGCCTTAGATGTACTGCAAGGCAATGCGGTGGGGGTAGTCTTTGTATATGCTCAGTGTACATGACGTCAAGTCTGGTCCATTGTCTTAGTGGAAGTTTATTTAATGTTCATTGGAGCTTTCTACATCGCTGCTGTGAGTACAGACTCTCGTCAATGAATTGCCTTTTCCCGAGCCGTGTTACAGACACGATTCGCTACGTTCCTCACGGTCTAAGCTAGAGCTCCATACACAGCAAATGGTACAAACACAACCTTAACACAAATCAAAAACATCATCGTAATTTAGATCATACAAATTATTTTAATTTAAATCTGATAACAATCGATCTACTACCGTATGTCCTCGAAATACCGTGGGTGAATACACCGTGCCCCGCATCGAGGTGGGTTTATTGTGATGAACATATTAATTAGATACGCGATGTTTTTCCACATCTCATCACGTAAACAATAACATGTTGTTCTACACATCTCATCAGCTGGATGCACATCCTCCTCGTGGGAGAGCATCGTTTCAGGAGCATTGATTCAACACAAAACAACTCTGGACCAGTTTTAAACAGTCAGTGTCTCTTAAGCAGAGTCAGGCTCGCTTGAACCATCGCTGGAAAACTAGGACCCCCATGTCGTACAGAGAGGGCCTGGAACTTCTGCAGTCCACCAACAGGGATTCGAGCAAGCCTAACTCTGCTGATGAGAAGCCGAATGTCGAAACCAGCCCAGAGTTTTTGCTCGTCCTGAATCCACGCTGCTGAAATGGTGCACTCACAAACAGGAGGCCGTGCGGCTGCTGGGATGAGTAGAACGCACTTGGATTGCTTACGTAGGGACACGGAGATGTAAAGGAAACACATTGTCTGCTCATTGTGTTATTTATATTATCTTAAATATATATTTACATATCTAAATATATTCGCACAATTAGCATAATTTAAATATGTATGTGAATATATTTATACATGTTTAGATACGTAAGATATATATATATAAAGTTCAAAACCGGAACGGCCCATCGTGCAGAGTAACGCTGCCGTGGTCCTCCCATCGTCCCTGCGTCCTAACGCCGCACGGACGCCGCAACCCAAGGCTGCGTCCTGTGGACAGCCCCCCCCCACTCGCCCTGTAGGACTGTGGAATCTCCCCCACCACCTGCAGGGCTGTTGAACGAACGGGAGGTGAGTCTCGAGGACTCAAGGCTCATGCGGCTGGGGAGATCAACTTTGGTTCACCAAACACTGCGGCATTGCCAAGCGCGTTCCAGAATTGTCTTGGCGGGTTTTGTGGTGGCGTTGTTGTGAACCTGCGTCCCCCACTCTGTATTGTGACATATGAACTCGCTGACCTGGGACCGCATCTACGGCACTCAAACTCTGGCCGGCTGCTGCGCGTGTTTGATTCTGTGCTTCGATTACCTTAAATAAAGGGGGAAGTTCAAGCTCTGTAGGCCCCACTCCTTCCTGTTTAGACCCCACCTCTTCTACCAGACACGTATTTACGTGAACACATTTTTAGCGTGACTCAGCTGCAGACAGCATGTAAATGTTGTCTTCATGGAAATCAGGGGGTTTTGCTAGGGAATTGGAATACTGGGGTACACCACTGACACCCATATATTAGCCCAGTATATCGAGGACACACTGTGTAAATGTACGTATACAAAGTATATGTATGTATAAATGGTATTGTTTATAAGTATCATATATATATAATGGGGGAAAAGTATCACGAACAAAATAAGAATGCGGTGCTTTTAAAAATAAAATATGCCAGCATCACACCTGGTGGGGGTTTGAGTCGGACTCGGGGTCAGGGCAATCGGAGGGAGAGGGTAGGACAGGCCAGCCGGCAAGCCAGTGCATGGAGGGAGCCTCCTCCCTCTGGGTCGTGGTTCGTGATTCGGTGAACTTCAATAATCGGTTTGTCCACCACCCCGTGTTGGGGAATTGGCCTACCCAGACTGACTGTTTCGTCTCATCCATCACACTGTGTTCAACCACCACCATCACCACACTGCAGCTCACAACAACACACTCACTCAGTCACTCAGTCGATCAGGCAAAATTAACCCCAACAGTGAAGACATTTGGGGATTGGTTTCAGTGAGCTGAGTGGTGATCTATGCGGTGTGAGGTGTCTGTGAGGTGTGTTGGTGAGCTGTTGGTGAGTTCACGGCACTCCCTGCCCATCCTCCCCTTTACCCCGTCTCTCCTGCCCCCCCTCCCCGCTCCCCGCTCAGCTGGCGGGCTTGGTGTCGAGGCTGCCCGAGTTGACGTGGCGCTGCACTCGGCGCTGAGACGTCGGCGTCGTCTCGGGCTTCTTGAGCCGGGTGCTGGATCTCTGTGATCCACACACAAAGACAAAGGTCCCCCGTGTAGCCTCGACAAGTGCTGCTCGCGAGTGGCACCTGCGAAGGCCGGGACTGCACGCAATGGGGTGGGCCAGTATCTCTAGTGGCGATATTTACACACCGCATCAGGTACTCATTTTGAGGCTGAAGCGACCTCGGGGAGGCCCATAACTGTTTCAGATAATCGTCACCATTGTTGACCTTGAGCGGGAATCGATCTCGGGTCGCCTGGTTCGTTCCACGACACTGCCGCTCCCCCCACACACACACACGGACAAACACGGGCCCGCGTGACAACCCACACCTTACTCTGCACCTCTACCAAAGACAAAGACACCCCCGTGTAGCCTCAACAGATTGTCGGGCAAGTGCTGTTAGCAAGTAGCGAGTGCCCATGAAGGGCAGTCCATCGCTTCGTCCACCCCACACAGCGACGCTGCCCTCTGCCTGCTGCCTGCTGCCCTCTGTCCTCTGCCTGCTGCCCTCTGCCTGCTGCCTGCTGCCTGCTGCCCTCTGCCTGCTGCCTGCTGCCCTACCTTCTCTCTGGTGCCGGCGCGAGCGATCCCAGTGTCCACTTCCTCAGTGACCGTCTCTGCGGGGATCTGTGGCCACACACACAGAGAGAGACACACACACAGAGAGACACACACGGGGCGCTCCCGTTACCATCATCACCATCATCACCATCATCATCGTGCCGTCACCATCGTCACATCACGACATCACCATCATCACCATCATCACATCACGACATCATCACCATCATCACCGTGCCGTCACCATCGTCACATCACGACATCACCATCATCACCATCATCACCATCATCACATCACGACATCATCACCATCATCACCATCATCACCGTGCCGTCACCATCGTCGTCACCACCATCGCCATTGTCAACAACAGAATCACCATCGTCACCATTGAAATCATCATCATCACCACCATCGCCTTCATCGCCATCATCACCATCCTTGTCACAACATGACCATCAACACGATTATTATCATCGCCATCATCAATATCATAAAGATCACGTCACATCACCGCCATCATCATCATCACCATCGTAACAACAATATCATCATCATATCACAACATAATGATCATCATCACCAGCATGGTCAATGCCATCATCATCAATATCACCATCGTCAAGTTACTACATCGTTACCGTCATCATCATCACCATTGTCGATCACAACAGCATAACCATCATCATCATCGGCACAAATGAGTAGGCAACAACGCATCGATTACACGCTCCACCACATTCAGGAGAGATATTGTAAGTTAATTGATTAATCATTAATATCGTGCGTGTACGCGTTGCAGGTGGGAGTGAACGGAATTATACCACAACCAGACGGCCACCACCACCACCACCCGTATCAGACACTGTGATCAGCCGACTCCCGTCTCCTCGTGTCCCATCAACCCCGCCTGGCTGCTGGTGCGAGTGACAGAGAATGTATTTTGGAATGTGGCTTTTGGCAAGCGAGACGTCTCCATCTCCACTGGTTAGCCAGGCGAACGGGCTGACATTCTCATTCGTATAAACTAACAAACTAACTGACTAACGCGATAGTGTGACGAGACGATGGTGTGATGAGACGATGGTGTGATGAGAAGGTGGTGTGATGACACGGTGGTGGTAACGAGACGCGAACGAGAAAATGCAAACGATACAGATGAGTCGGTGCTAACGAGACGCCATCACCATCGCGTGCGATGTCACTTCACAACGACAAAGATGACCCGTGTAGCCTTAACAGGCCGCTGGGTCAAGTGCTGCTAGCGAGTAGCACCTATGAAGGCCGGTACGGCACACGGGGGGGGGGGGGGGGTAGCCAGCGACATCCCCGGCCGCCTTTGTCTCCCCAGCGCTGATGTTTACACACCGCACCAGATACTCACTGACGGCTGAGTCGACCTAGGGGAGACCCAGCATCGGTACTAATATTCGCCATTATTGGTCGTGAGCGAGAATTGACCTCGGGTCGCTGGGTTCGTAGCGCACTAACCACTACACTACCGCTCCCCATATCACTGCACACGCACACATACTGTCGAATAGCTCACCATCACCATCACAAGCAGTGTCACCATCACAGACACGCAAGCGACAATCCTCACCATCGTCAAAACCCACTTGCTGTACTGCCATCTCGTGGCCGCCTGGCAGGGCGAAGGGCCTTCTGAGATTCACAAATCGCTACGTGGTCCACCAACCCCTCGTCTCCGAGAGCTCTGGCTCGCTGGCGCACGACGGCAACCGCGCCTGGCTGACGCGTTTCCGTCACGTGGACCTAAGTGACCTCGCCATCACTGACACTCCATCACCATCATCACCACGACCACCACCACCATCATCATCAGCATCATCAGTCACTCAAGCATCACCATCAGCTTGAGGAATAGGTAAAAGCAAGCGAATATGAACATACGGAGTGAGAATGAGAAACGGGCAATGTTAGAGGGACATGCCAACTGCTACTCAAAACAGAAACCCGACAACTCCAGCACTCGATTACTCAGTCGCCTCCCTGTTACTCTTTTATCGCTACGACTGCCATGGTTACTGATCCAGTCTACTTCGAGGACTCGGTCTCTACCAGACACTGACTGTTTCATCTCATCCATCGCACCGAGTTCAACCACCACCAGCACCACCACCACTACCACACTACAGGTCACAACATCTCATTCACCCACTCACCACACTACAGATGACAACCTATTTTCTTTCTCATTATTTCCTTGTACTGCTTCACTGTGGAATCCCCTCCTGCCATTACCATCACCACCACCACCACCGTCGTCTCTTTCCCACCAAGCACTTACAACAAGAATAGTCTCGCTCAACGTTAATCACAGTGCTGTTTGTTGCTGGCGGCTCAACGTTAATCACAGTGCTGTTTGTTGCTGGCGGCTCAACGCTCGCCGAGCATCTTCTGAGGCTGACCACGACGCGTCCGATGGTCAACGCGCTCGTCCGCAACGCTGCGAGGCCCTCAGAGGAAACCAAGCGGCACAAACTCGCGACGCGTTGGGCAGTGGCCCTGCTCTTGAGGAGGGACCATTGCCTGCAACGTCGCCTATTGTTGGCATGTCGCTGCCTTGCCCAAGCGTGGGTGTTGAAACGTCTGCAGGACTTGATGCACTTACGCGATGTGTACTTGTAATATACTTTGTTTGTATTTGTTAGTGACTCGCTTACCTTCTCTCGAGCGTGCACTCCCATCGTCTGTTGCATTGTTTATTGTTGTTATTCGCTGACCCCCCCCCCAGCCCCTAATGGACACTTGTCCAAAAATAGCTTCATAGCTCATCGGATTCGTCTAACAAAGATTCTGATTGTTTTCCTTGTAAGGCCACCTTGCGACTGATGAAACGTTTCGAGTTTTATTCCTGAGATGGCTCAAAGGTCAACATTGGGGGATTTCCACAACGCTAGAGAATCCATAATACATGTTTTTTTTTGTTTAGATCGCGTGAATATTTAGTGAGTATAACACGTAGGCTTCTGCGACCAATGTCATCCATAATAAAGGTTTTGTTGGGGTTAGATCTTGTAAATAAATATATATATTTACGCCATATTGGTCGCGAAAGCCCATGTGTCATACTAACCCTGGAGAACGATTGGCGATGCTGCTCGTCGCCACGACCAAATCCATCAATGTGCGACGATCACTGTCCAGCACAGCCGTGGTGCTGAAGCTGTAACAATGACTACATTCACATGTGAGTTCACGTGACAACTCTTTGTTCATATGGCTCGTGTCGGTGGAGGAGGGGTGCACGACACACATTGACATACTCCTGGACATTTGTGAAAAAGAGATCTTCATAGCTCATCGGATTCCTCCAGTTTAAATAAATGTTCAGATTCCGATATGTACCAGTGTGTGGCGCTGCGATCCAACTATTCTAACAACATCGGTGGCTGGCGAACACCTCCACCTGTTCAATTCCTCTCTGCCAGCCTCGAAGGCATTGCGAGAGAGACAGAGACACACACCACCGTCTCCCAATGCCTTCCCTCCTGTCCCTGCAGCGGACCCCCTCCCCACCCTGGGACCTCCCCCTGGTACCCCCCCGCGATGGACCCCGTCAGGCGGTGTGAGCATGCGCCAGGGCACACCTACCCTTGGACCGTCCCAGGATCCTGTTGAAAGGGAAAAGCCCTGGAATGAGTCGCCTGATCGTGCCAAACAGCCCCGGGACCTGCGCGCGTGCAGTCAGCAGCACACACGGCCCCGCGCGCTCGTAAAGCGGCCTGTCCCCCACCGCTCGCCGCCTCTCTGCGGGAGCACGGAGCACACATCGTGTGTAGGTAGGCACGTCGCTGGGTGGGTGAGATACGTGAGGTGGGTAGGCAGGTAGGTACTGTAGTGGGTAGGTTATAGAATTGCACTCGTGTTCAGCCGATGCTGCTGATGGGTCACTGAATGTGGGGACTGGTCTCTGTGCTGCTGAGATGATAGGCTTTAACGTAGGCCATGTGTGTGGCTGATGAGATGCGTATACACAAAGCTTGACATGTTCATGTGGAGGAACAGATACGTGAAGGAGGTGTCTTTTCTACCTATTTATATCAGTCGTAATATGCTGCATGACGCTGGCGATTGTTCTGTATTATCTACAGTATAATGTTGTGTAAAACAAGGACCCAAAGCTAACAGTTCGCCAGCATTGATTCAATGTTGTGTAGAACCAGGACCCACAGCATTGGTTCAAGCAAAGCCCGACTCTGCTGATGAGACACCGAATGTCAAAACCAATCCAGAGTTGCTGCTTGTGTTGAACCAATTCTGCTGACAGAATGCACTGCAAGACGGACGGCCGTGTGGCTGATGTGATGTGTAAAACACAATGTTGTACGTAGAGGGACAGACGTGTCAATGTGTATTGTCTGCTCAGTGAGAGTGAAGGTACATCACAAATCGGCGACGTGTACTCATGTCAACGTGTAACGCGATGCACAGAACTTCGCTCGCTCCGCAAGAGAGGACGACTCAGAGGCGCCAAGAGGAGGAACCGCAGATGAGCCGGGCAGCAGCAGCAGCAGCCGTGACGCAATGAACCGGCACTAACAACAATTGTCCAAGCTCTGCGGTTCTCTACGCATGAAGATGATCGGCCAATTCGTAAATCTTCAATGGAACCCTACGGCGTACTCTAGCAGGCACGCCTGACGTTGGCTCATACGCTCCCAGTCGGCAATGTGGTTTGAAATCGTTGAGCCAACGTTGAGCCAATGTGCCGCGTTTGTTGGGAGAGTCGATTTTTTTACGAGGCACGTAGTAGTGGCATGGCTAATACCACGCTACGGCAGTATTAACCGGGGCGGCCTGCCGGACTCGAACCCGCGAACCTCTGCAACGAGTGCGGCGCGCATTGTCACCGCCGGGAAGGCGCCACATCCACAAATAGAAACGAGGGGGCAGCGGTGGGGGGGGGGGGGCAGCGGTGGGGGGGGGCAGCGGTGGAGGGGGCAGCGGTGGAGGGGGCAGCGGTGGGGGGGGGGGCAGCGGTGGGGGGGGGGGCAGCGGTGGAGGGGGGGGCAGCGGTGGAGGGGGCAGCGGTGGGGGGGGGGCAGCGGTGGGGGGGGGGGGCAGCGGTGGAGGGGGGGGCAGCGGTGGAGGGGGCAGCGGTGGGGGGGGGGGCAGCGGTGGGGGGGGCAGCGGTGGGGGGGGGGGCAGCGGTGGGGGCGCGCGAGGCGCGGGGTGCCCGAGACAGACCACGTGATGGACACGGCACGAAGCGCGCAGACGACGACTGCAACTCCACTGCTGGATGAGGGGCCTCCCCACGCGCACCGCGTGGGTTGTGGGTGGTGGGGCGGATATTTGACCATACTTCACCGCAAATAGTGAGTTGGTTGAGACAGGGAGCACAGACGCGGGAGCATAGAAGTACTGCACAATGAAAGAACGTATGAGGCTGCACCGCCCCTGTGCCCGCCACGCAGCCCACCAGGATGCAGCTCGCACGGAGAGAGAAGCACCACGCGTCTGGGGGGGCGCTGAGCGAGGAGACCACCCCAAGGGTTGACGCGCTTGACATCCGGTGTTTTAGAAGGACGCTGAGAATATGATGAACTACACATGTATATAGCAACAACGATAATGATGATGATGATGACGCACTACGTAACGCGGTCACGGACATAAATGACCCCGTGACCGTAAGGCGCAAGAGCCACGCTCAGTGTCGCTCCAAAGCCAGGCGAGAGAGGTGGGGCCTCTAAGGAAGAGGAGGCGCCTTTAGGATGGAAGTGGTGGCCCTCAAGTGTCTCTTAGAAGCCGGTGTGGACTGAACTCTGCTGCTGCTGCGGTGAATTCGCAGCAGCAGCAGGGGAATGACGATGATTTTCACCCGGCCGCGACGCGGGTAGCGGCGTTGCTGCGTGGAACGGCACCACGAGGATTTCGAGGGTGACGCACAGTTTGTGATAATTAACCTGGAGCGCTGACTGAGGAATATGGGTCTGGTTCTGTGGTGAAAGTGGCTAAACCATAAGCGAGAGGGGGGGGGGTCAAGAGGAAAAACAAAGACGGACGTGATGGGGCGGATGACATGAAGTCAATGTATGCGGCATACATTGATCGTCGACCTCCGCCGCAATGGATGTATTGAGAGTTCAAAATATGTCCAGAGACCGAGACATGACCGTGGAGACCCACGTGAGGCCGCTTCGAGAACAGAAATCGCCGTTGAAAGGGCGACCTTGGGTTTGAATAGAGGTTGGATTAATATTGGGGTACTGATAATTTCATTAATGACATCTTATATAATTAACACGTGAACGACTTCCATTCATACATCCAAACATACGCAGACATGTATACAAAGACAAAGATCCCCGGTTTAGTCTTTAACAGGCTGTTGGGGCAAGTGCTGTTAGCGAGCACCAATGAAGGCCGACACGGCACACGAGGGGGTGGGTGGCCAGCACCACGCCCGGCCGCCTTTGTCTCCCCAGTGGCGATGTTTACTACACACCGCACCAGGTACTCATTTGAGGTTGAGTCGACTTCGGGGAGGCCCAGGACTGGCTCAGATAATTGTCACTGATGTTGGCCGTTAGCGGGAATCAAACTATGGGTGTTGAGGCTGCTATGAGTGTTGAGGCTGCTATGGGTGTTGAGGCTGCTATGAGTGTTGAGGCTGCTATGGGTGTTGAGGCTGCTATGAGTGTTGAGGCTGCTATGAGTGTTGAGGCTGCTATGGGTGTTGAGGCTGATATGGGTGTTGAGGCTGATATGGGTGTTGAGGTTGCTATGGGTGTTGAGGCTGCTATGGGTGTTGAGGTTGCTATGGGTGTTGAGGCTGCTATGGGTGTTGAGGCTGCTATGAGTGTTGAGGTTGCTATGAGTGTTGAGGCTGCTATGGGTGTTGAGGCTGCTATGAGTGTTGAGGCTGCTATGGGTGTTGAGGCTGCTATGAGTGTTGAGGCTGCTATGAGTGTTGAGGCTGCTATGGGTGTTGAGGCTGCTATGGGTGTTGAGGCTGCTATGGGTGTTGAGGCTGCTATGGGTGTTGAGGCAGCTATGGGTGTTGAGGCTGCTATGAGTGTTGAGGTTGCTATGAGTGTTGAGGCTGCTATGGGTGTTGAGGCTGCTATGAGTGTTGAGGCTGCTATGGGTGTTGAGGCTGCTATGAGTGTTGAGGCTGCTATGAGTGTTGAGGCTGCTATGGGTGTTGAGGCTGATATGAGTGTTGAGGCTGCTATGAGTGTTGAGGCTGCTATGGATGTTGAGGTTGCTATGGGTGTTGAGGCTGCTATGGGTGTTGAGGTTGCTATGGGTGTTGAGGCTGCTATGAGTGTTGAGGCTGCTATGGGTGTTGAAGTTGCTATGGGTGTTGAGGCTGCTATGGGTGTTTAGGCTGCTATGAGTGTTGAGGTTGCTATGGGTGTTGAGGCTGCTATGAGTGTTGAGGCTGCTATGAGTGTTGAGGCTGCTATGAGTGTTGAGGCTGCTATGGGTGTTGAGGCTGCTATGAGTGTTGAGGCTGCTATGAGTGTTGAGGCTGCTATGAGTGTTGAGGTTGCTATGGGTGTTGAGGCTGCTATGGGTGTTGAGGCTGCTATGGGTGTTTAGGCTGCTATGGGTGTTGAGGCAGCTATGGGTGTTGAGGCTGCTATGGGTGTTGAGGTTGCTATGAGTGTTGAGGCTGCTATTGGTGTTGAGGCTGCTATGGGTGTTGAGGCTGGTATGGGTGTTGAGGCTGCTATGGGTGTTGAGGCAGCTATGGGTGTTGAGGCTGCTATGGGTGTTGAGGTTGCTATGAGTGTTGAGGCTGCTATGGGTGTTGAGGCTGCTATGGGTGTTGAGGCTGCTATGGGTATTGAGGCTGCTATGGGTGTTGAGGCTGCTATGGGTGTTGAGGCTGCTATGAGTGTTGAGGCTGCTATGAGTGTTGAGGCTGCTATGGGTATTGAGGCAGCTATGAGTGTTGAGGCTGCTATGGGTATTGAGGCAGCTATGGGTGTTGAGGCTGCTATGAGTGTTGAGGCTGCTATGGGTATTGAGGCTGCTATGGGTGTTGAGGCTGCTATGAGTGTTGAGGCTGCTATGGGTATTGAGGCTGCTATGAGTGTTGAGGCTGCTATGGGTATTGAGGCTGCTATGAGTGTTGAGGCTGCTATGGGTATTGAGGCAGCTATGGGTGTTGAGGCTGCTATGAGTGTTGAGGCTGCTATGGGTATTGAGGCTGCTATGGGTGTTGAGGCTGCTATGGGTGTTGAGGCTGCTATGAGTGTTGAGGCTGCTATGGGTGTTGAGGCAGCTATGGGTGTTGAGGCTGCTATGAGTGTTGAGGCTGCTATGGGTATTGAGGCTGCTATGAGTGTTGAGGCTGCTATGGGTATTGAGGCAGCTATGGGTGTTGAGGCTGCTATGAGTGTTGAGGCTGCTATGGGTATTGAGGCTGCTATGGGTGTTGAGGCTGCTATGGGTGTTGAGGCTGCTATGAGTGTTGAGGCTGCTATGAGTGTTGAGGCTGCTATGGGTGTTGAGGCTGCTATGGGTGTTGAGGCTGCTATGAGTGTTGAGGCTGCTATGAGTATTGAGGCTGCTATGGGTGTTGAGGCTGCTATGGGTGTTGAGGCTGCTATGAGTGTTGAGGCTGCTATGAGTGTTGAGGCTGCTATGAGTGTTGAGGCGGCTGCTGTCAGGATTCTCCCCCTTCCTGACCTCCTCCACCTCCTCCTGCCGCTGCTCCTCCTCCTCCTCCTCCCCGGGGCCATCTCCCCGCGCTGCGCACGCACACGCGCGCTCCTCCTCCTGCTCCTCCTGCTGCTCCTCCTGCTGCTCCTCCTGCTGCTCCTCCTGCTGCTCCTCCTGCTGCTCCTCCTGCTGCTCCTCCTGCTGCTCCTCCTGCTGCTGCCACGTGGCACGGGGCCAACCCCCGTAACCCGCCGGGGCCCCCCAGGGCCCCCCACTCTCGTCGTCAGCATCCACGGACGACGACAACGAGGAGTAGAGCGGCCGCGGCTGCCCCCACGTGGACCCCGCCGCGTGGCCGTCGCGAGCCGCCGCTGCTCCGCTGCCGCCCTCGACCAAGTAGAAGCCCCCGGCGGCGGGGGCCCCCCCCTCCCCGCGGGGGTCCCCGTCGGAGCCCCCCGCGATCGCGTCCACGTCCACGACGCGCACGCTCGGCAGCCCCCGGGCGACGTGGGCCCCGCGGGGAGGGCCGAGGGAGGGGCCCCCCGCCGCGGGCACCCCGTGGCCGTCTCCGCCGCGGGGGTCAATGAGCAGGAAGGTGCGGAACTGGGGGTCCCCGCGCGGTGCCAGGGGGCCGCCCCCCACGGCGCGCGCCGCCGTCTTCGTCTTCTTATTCGTCTCTCCGTCTTCGTCGTCGTCGTCGTCCGCCGCGGCCGCCGCCGCCCTCGCCGGCTCCGTCGGCTTCGTCACCTGACCCCGCACAGATGGAATCGTTGTCAGAGACACGGCGGTGTTGCTCTCGCGAGCACGACCCCTCTTGTTGTCTGCGACGCCGCCCCCCGGGAGAAAGCAGACGCGGCGAGAGGGGGGGGGGGGGCAAGGGGGGGGGGGTCCCGCAGGGTCGAGACGCCACTGACGAGGGCAGAGAGGCGCAGCGCAGCGCGGCAGTGGTGGCGATGGTGGCGGGGCGGCCTCAATAGGGGTCGGTGGGGTCAGACAGGAGCGGTGGACTTGGGAGATGCTTTAGTTCGTCGTCTCAGTCGTTATGTTGTTTGTCGTCTTAGCTTCTGATCGCTCTGCGTTGGGAGGCTGTGGGACTGCCATCGGGAGTCCGTGGTCCGTGCTGTTGGAGACCCGAGGCTCTTATCGCCCACCGCTCCGTGCGTCCCCACACCCGCGCAAGGCACCACGAGGTGTTGCGTCGATCTTCGTCTCCAGCGCGGCCCGTTTGGAGCTTGCAGAGTCGCGGAGACACGCGGCCCGTGGTGGTGGTGGTGGTCGTCTGAGCGTTTGTCACGGCAGCACGCGTGGAGTTTTTGTTGCAATTGCGAGACGAACGAGGCGAGGTGGCGATGCGAGCGTGCGGCCGCTGTCTAAGGATCGGCAGCAGACTGGCGAGCGGCACTAACACCACCGCCATGATCTATCCACTGCTGGATGAAGGCCTCAGTCACCATCTCAAGCCGCCACAATCTCTCTGCACAGTCCGTCGCCTCTCGCGGAACCTGAACCAAGTTCGTCGCTCCGTCTCACGCACGCTGCACATACACACTCCTCCACGCCCACCACGGGAAGGGAGTTCCACACACCATGGGTGCGGTGCTCCACCAACCCTCACTACTGCCCCCGCCGCCGTGCGGGATTACACGCCACGTTGGCTCGAGTGTGCGAGGCTGTCGCAAGTGTGGATGACCTCACGTGACGTCCAGGATATACGCCTCGTCCGAGACCCAAACATTTCCGCACCTACTCCTGGCTTTGACATTCCTCCACCTCCTCGAAGCCACCGGGTGGAGCCATCAACCGAATGTGCACATCGCCACCAGAGCGATGTGCACATCTCCGTCAATGTCAAGTTAAAGACGCGGGCCACAGTATCGCGAGAGTGGCCATGCAACCTCAACTGCGGACAGCGCAGACCACCCACTGTTGCCAGACGAGGAGGAACCAGAGCATGACACCAACTCTCTCTCTCTGCTGAAGCCCCCCTCGTCGTGGCGAGCAGCAGCAGAGACGTCACAATTCACCGTCACGATTCTATTCGAGACAAAGAGTCAAATGCCAAAATGATTTCCTGCTGAATTAAGCACTGAAGCTGCAGTCAGTTATGGAAATTCCACATTCCGATGGCAGGCAAAGCGAGTGGGTTGGCGGTAGGGCGGGGGAGCATGGGGCGAGTTTATTCAGAGGACGACAACTGGTTGACTTTGCATCCCCGCGTAGCGGTACCCGTTGTGTCGACCCCAGAAGGAGCGAGGGATGATGGAAGAACCGCAGCCGAGAGTTGGAGGTTACCGTGAAGAATTCTTTGGCGAGAAGGTTTCCGTCACCTCCCAAGGGGCGTTCAGAGAGACCCATGGAACTGCGCCCTCCCCCTGAAGGGCAGTCGACACATGACGGCTGTCTCTGGTTATGCCCCCAACTACGAATAGCCATGGAACGACAATGGAGACGTCTTATCAAGAACTTGGCCACATTTTATCCTCGTAGAACTGACAAGAAGGTCCTGTAACTAGAGGAGTACAACGCCAGGGTGAGGACTTGACTCGCCCTGGTGCCACCCGCAGGCGCGGTGTGATGCCAAGCTTAATGTGGCCAACTCCTCCTGGGAATGTGCTCAGTGCATGGCCTCTCAATCTCTCAAACTTTACATCGGCTTCCTAACCATCGCAAAGCTACCTGGACGCACCCAATGTCAACACATTGGCACTCGATAGATGATGTCATTACACGACCTAAGATCCCTGGATTTGGTCTTGCACGAAGCTCACGGCCCACCCTAAATCGCATCCACTGCACAGACCATGGCAGTAGACGCGGAGAGCTGATGATGCACACGCGGAGAATTAGAAACTCCCCAGTGTGCGACTATGGCCCTCCAGAGCAGACGGTACAACACGCGACGACGCGATTCCTCGACCCACGAGTACGAAGGAGACACCACGGCCGTGACACACGAACCCCGCTGCCCCTCACGCGGTTATCCGGCTTGGCCACCTGAATGTGACGTTGCAGTTGTGGCTCTGCATCGACATCAGCCATCGGCATCAGCCATCGGCATCAGCTACACGAGAGACGAAGCTTACACGACAAAGAGATCTCAAGACAAGTACATCGACGCGAGTGGTTAGAGGAGCAATCGGTGACACTGACCCTTGTCCTATAAGGTCAAAGATCGACTTTCACATAAACATGCCCAAGCGTAGGGCTGTGCCACGTCTACCGAAGAAACTCAACGTAAGAAATCTGAAGGTTCAAAAGGTCCGACTCTCACTCCCCAACAGAATATTGAGCAATCTTTAAGAAACCGAGATCGCGAAAGCAAAGACGTTGAGCAACGTTGGGATACTTTCAAGGACGTTGTCTGCACTGTCTCTTCAAGCGTCTCGGCGTTTCAAGTAGAAGGCACGAGGACTTGGTTTAATGAGGACGACTCGCTGATCAGCGAGCTCCTGGGCGCAATAACTTCAGTTCAGCGCACCCCAGAGCAGGGCCATCAGATCGGTAGGTGGAAATTGGCGCTTCGAACAATACGCTCCACGCTCCAGAAGAGATGAAAAAAGTCTTAAAGAAAATTTGAAAATAAACGGTGGCACAAGAAGCAGCACGAAGTACAGCATGACGCAGGTCCACAGCGATATTTAAACAATGTTATCATGCACTTGAAGAAGGCCATGGCCCAGCTACTCGTACAGAGACCCCTCGTGAAAGTGAAGATGGCGAATGCCTGACGACTTGGACTGGGGAACTCCTTGCGAGGTGGAGATAAGACAACTACCTTGCAGGTTTTACTGGATCAGCTTGGTGCCGTCTCAGATGGAGCACGAGATAACGGGGCCCAGCGTGAGAGGCCGCGTGACCTTGATCGTGAGCCCGCACTTGATGAGCTCAAGCAAGCGAGCCACACACCGCTGACCTCCCCCTCCTCCTCTCCCCCACACACCGCTCATCTTCCACCACCCTCCTTACCCCACTTCCCGACACCAACCTGTACGAGGCTAGCATGGTGAAGTATGGTCAAATGCCTCCCCCACCTCCCCGATGACCAACACGGATTGGGAGAGCCTTCAGGTCAGCAGCAGCAGTGGATCGCCAGAGAGCTGCGAGTGCTACCATCGTCACCACCCCGCCACGAGCTACCATCGTCACCACCCCGCCACGAGCTACCATCGTCACCACCCCGCCACGAGCTACCATCGTCACCACCCCGCCACGAGCTACCATCATCACCACCCCGCCACGAGCTACCATCATCACCACCTCGCTACGAGCTACCACCGTCACCACCCCGCCACGAGCTACCATCGTCACCACCCCGCCACGAGCTACCATCGTCACCACCCCGCCACGAGCTACCATCGTCACCACCCCGCCACGAGCTACCATCGTCACCACCCCGCCACGAGCTACCATCGTCACCACCCCGCCACGAGCTACCATCGTCACCACCCCACCACGAGCTACCATCGTCACCACCCCGCCACGAGCTACCATCATCACCACCCCGCCACGAGCTACCATCGTCACCACCCCGCCACGAGCTACCACCGTCACCACCCCGCCACGAGCTACCATCGTCACCACCCCGCTACGAGCTACCATCGTCACCACCCCGCCACGAGCTACCATCGTCACCACCCCGCCACGAGCTACCATCGTCACCACCCCGCCACGAGCTACCACCGTCACCACCCCGCCACGAGCTACCATCGTCACCACCCCGCCACGAGCTACCACCGTCACCATCCCGCCACGAGCTACCATCGTCACCACCCCGCCACGAGCTACCATCGTCACCACCCCGCCACGAGCTACCATCGTCACCACCCCGCCACGAGCTACCATCGTCACCACCCCGCCACGAGCTACCATCATCACCACCCCGCTACGAGCTACCACCGTCACCACCCCGCCACGAGCTACCATCGTCACCACCCCGCCACGAGCTACCATCGTCACCACCCCGCCACGAGCTATCATCGTCACCACCCCGCCACGAGCTACCATCGTCACCACCCCGCCACGAGCTACCATCGTCACCACCCCACCACGAGCTACCATCGTCACCACCCCACCACGAGCTACCATCGTCACCACCCCGCCACGAGCTACCACCGTCACCACCCCACCACGAGCTACCATCGTCACCACCCCGCCACGAGCTACCACCGTCACCACCCCACCACGAGCTACCACCGTCACCACCCCGCCACGAGCTACCACCGTCACCACCCCGCCACGAGCTACCACCGTCACCACCCCGCCACGAGCTACCACCGTCACCACCCCACCACGAGCTACCACCGTCACCACCCTGCCACGAGCTACCACCGTCACCACCCTGCCACGAGCTACCACCGTCACCACCCCCCCACGAGCTACCACCGTCACCACCCCGCCACGAGCTACCATCGTCACCACCCCACCACGAGCTACCATCGTCACCACCCCGCCACGAGCTACCGCCGTCACCACCCCGCCACGAGCTACCATCGTCACCACCCCGCCACGAGCTACCACCGTCACCACCCCGCCACGAGCTACCATCGTCACCACCCCACCACGAGCTACCACCGTCACCACCCTGCCACGAGCTACCACCGTCACCACCCCCCCACGAGCTACCACCGTCACCACCCCGCCACGAGCTATTATCGTCACCACCCCACCACGAGCTACCATCGTCACCACCCCGCCACGAGCTACCATCGTCACCACCCCACCACGAGCTAACACCGTCACCACCCCGCCACGAGCTACCATCATCACCACCCCGCCACGAGCTACCATCATCACCACCCCGCCACGAGCTACCATCATCACCACCCCGCCACGAGCTACCACCGTCACCACCCCGCCACGAGCTACCACCGTCACCACCCCGCCACGTGCTACCATCATCACCACCCCGCCACGAGCTACCATTGTCACCACCCCGCCACGAGCTACCATCGTCACCACCCCGCCACGAGCTACCATTGTCACCACCCCGCCACGAGCTACCACCGTCACCACCCCGCCACGAGCTACCACCGTCACCACCCCGCCACGTGCTACCATCATCACCACCCCACCACGAGCTACCACCGTCACCACCCCGCCACGAGCCTCCGCAGTTGTCACGTGACCCGCTCACCTGGTCGACGGCGAGAAGTCCCACGCGGGTCCCCGCCCCGTCCTCGCCCACCTCCTCGGGGAAATCTTCGCTCTCCGCTCCCAGCCCCCCCTCCAGCCCCGCCTCCAGCCCCCCGCCACCCTCCTCCTCCTCCTCGTCCCCCTCCTCCTCCTCCTGGCGCCCCCCTCCCGCGTCGTGGGCTCCGTTCCTGCGCCCCTCCCTCGCGCCCCTCCCCCGGTCTCGCTCCTTGTTCCGCTCGAGGCCTCCCCGATCCCGGCCCCGCGAGCGATCCTTCGCCCGGGTGGCGAACTCGTCCCGGAGGTCCGAGGCGTCTGCGTGGGGTGGAGGGCACGGGGGGGGGGGGGGTAATTGGGGTCGCACAAACCCCCACGACGCTCGCCTCCTCGTCAGTCCTCTATCCCTACGACTACTCCTGCTACCATGGTTACTGGTCCATGTTCACGTCACTCCTCCATCCCTACGACTACTCCCGCTACCATGGTTACTGGTCCACTTTCACGTGATTCCTCCATCCCTACGACTACTCCTGCTACCATGGTTACTGGTCCACTTTCACGTGACTCCTCCATCCCTACCACTACTCCTGTTACCATGGTTACTGGTCCATGTTCACGTCACTCCTCCATCCCTACGACTACTCCCGCTACCATGGTTACTGGTCCACTTTCACGTGATTCCTCCATCCCTACGACTACTCCTGCTACCATGGTTACTGGTCCACTTTCACGTGACTCCTCCATCCCTACGACTACTCCTGCTACCATGGTTACTGGCCCACGTTCACGTCACTCCTCCATCTCTACGACTACTCCTGCTACCATGGTTACTGGTCCATGTTCACGTCACTCCTCCATCCCTACGACTACTCCCGCTACCATGGTTACTGGTCCACGTTCACGTCACTCCTCCATCTCTACGACTACTCCTGCTACCATGGTTACTGGTCCATGTTCACGTCACTCCTCTATCCCTACCACTACTCCTGCTACCATGGTTACTGGTCCACTTTCACGTGACTCCTCCATCCCTACGACTACTCCTGCTACCATGGTTACTGGCCCACGTTCACGTCACTCCTCCATCTCTACGACTACTCCTGCTACCATGGTTACTGGTCCATGTTCACGTCACTCCTCCATCCCTACGACTACTCCCGCTACCATGGTTACTGGTCCACGTTCACGTCACTCCTCCATCTCTACGACTACTCCTGCTACCATGGTTACTGGTCCACGTTCACGTCACTCCTCCATCCCTACGACTACTCCTCAACATAGTATACACATACAATACACATACAATATACATACATACAACACTGTGTTCAACTGCAACCACCACACTACAGGTCACAACAAACTCACTCATTCACCCTCTCACTCACCCACCCACTCACCCACCCACTCACCACACTGCAGCTCACAGCAAACTCAATCATTCACCCACTCAATCACTCACCCACCCACTCACCACAATGCAGGTCACAACAAACTCACTCATTCACCCACTCACTCATTCACCCACTCACTCATTCACCCACTCACTCATTCACCCACTCACTCATTCACTCACTCATTCACCCACCCACTCATTCACCCACTCACTCATTCACCCACTCACTCATTCACCCACTCACTCATTCACCCACTCATTCATTCACTCACTCATTCACCCACTCACTCATTCACCCACTCACTCATTCACCCACCCACTCACCACAATGCAGGTCACAACAAACTCACTCATTTACCCTCTCACTCTGCCCCCCCCCCCCCCATTTTCTTACAACAACAATAACCTCACTCAATTCAAGACGCGTCTTACACTTTCTTATCTATCACCACTTTGATAATAGTGCTGTGTATTGCTTAAATAAGATATCCCCCCCTGTCCATCTGCCAAATTTCTAGGCGAGGAGAGACGACGGGGAAGTTCCGTTTGTGCAAAAATATCTTTATAGCTCATCGGATTCCTCCAGTCTAAATAGATATTCTGATTCGCTGAGATAATCACTTGCCAAGTTCCGTCGCGTCCAGCCCGTGACCTCTGGGCCCATTCTTCGGAGGGGGCCTCCGAGGGCCGGTCTTGCCAGGGGCCCGCGGCTGAGCTGGTGGAACGGGGTCCCCGTACTGATGGTGCTGCTGGTGGTGCTGCTGGTGGTGCTGCTGGAGGTGGTGGTGGTAGCCCGGCTTGCGTTGCCCGCCGCGGTGTTCGGGCTGCTGCTGCTGCAGCTGCTGCTGGTAGGGGTGGTGCTGCTGCTGCAGCTGCTGCTGCTGCTGGTAGGGGTGGTGCTGCGAGTAAAGGTCGCGCGCGGCGCGGGAGTCGCGCGGGGACAGCTGCTGGCGGCGTCGCGCCGACGGAAGCGGCGGCACCCCCCCGTTGCGCTCCGAGAGGAGGGAGCCGTCTCCCAGCTGAGACACGGCGGCCGGAGGGGTCCCGAGGGGGAGGGTGGGGAAGAGACACGGGGTGGAGGGAGACACGGGGAGGAGGGAGACACGGGGGAGGGAGACACGGGGAGGAGGGAGACACGGGGGAGGGAGACACGGGGAGGAGGGAGACACGGGGAGGAGGGAGACACGGGGAGGAGGGAGACACGGGGGAGGGAGACACGGGGAGGAGGGAGACACGGGGGAGGGAGACACGGGGAGGAGGGAGACACCGGGAGGAGGGAGACACGGGGAGGAGGGAGACACGGGGGAGGGAGACACGGGGAGGAGGGAGACACGGGGGAGGGAGACACGGGGAGGAGGGAGACACGGGGGAGGGAGACACGGGGAGGAGGGAGACACGGGGAGGAGGGAGACACGGGGGAGAGAGACACGGGGAGGAGGGAGACACGGGGGAGGGAGACACGGGGAGGAGGGAGACACGGGGGAAGGGACACGGGGGAGGGAGACACGGGGAGGAGGTAGAGACCGGGGAATGAGACACGGGGGAGGGAGACACGGGGAGGAGAAAGAGACGGGGGAGTGAGACACGGGTGGGGGACGGGGGGAGGGAGACACGGGGGAAGGGACACGCGCGGAGGGAGACACGTGGGAGTGAGACACGTGGGGGAGGGGGGGGGGGAGACACGGGGGAGTGAGATACGTGGGGGAGGGGGGGGGGAGACACGGGGGAGGGAGACACGGGGGAAGGGACACACGGGGGGAAGGAGACATGGGGAGGAGGACACGGAGTGGAGGGAAAGGTGGCGGGGGGGGGGAGCGGATGACCGTGACTTGACGATGCTACAATGAATACAAGAACTCAACACACTTGCCAATCACAAGGCGTGGCCTTATTATAATCAATACACATATAAGAGACGACGTTTCAGGCAATGGACCTTCTTCGTAGCGCCTCATAAACAACACCACATTGGCTTTATTTGTTTGAACCCTTCATTTAACCAGGAGATTATATCAACCCAAGATATCACACGCAGCGTCATCACAACTCTGTGGAGGAGGAGGCTCGTGAAGGACGCTGCCGCTGGGCAGTTGGAGGCGGTCGCCTTCCAGCAACGACGCAGGGCAGAGAAGCAACGCTCACAACAACGAGCCGAGCGCCGGGCGGATAAAACGCAGCGAGTTGGCACGGTAGGGAGTACAGGTGGTGCATCTATCAGTCATCTCAGTCAGTAAATCTACGGCACCTGAGTCTATCCCGTGATCTCCTGCCAGCAGCGAGCCTTCCACATTTCATGCGATGACCTCAATGTGCACCTAGCCTGGCACAAGCCCTTCAGCGCACCTCCGATTAGCACGGTTGGCTACGCACGGTGCGAAGGAAGATCAGCACGTTACCTGTGGAAAGGAGCTGGCGAGGGTGTTGATGCTCGGAGATTTGCTGTTGTGGCTCTGTAACAGAAGGCGCACGAGGTTGACACAGATCCCGCACGGCCGTCTTTGTTGAAGGACACTCACAGATCGTTGCTACTGACGCGGGGCGTGGCGAGTTCGTCGCTAACTGTTGCGTGTGAAAGAGGTTCTACATGCATCCTTAGGAAGTGCGGGCTGTTAGTTTGTTAAATAAAATAACAAATCGAGAGAAGTGGTGATAGAGGGGTGGTGGTCTCACCGAGTCGCGACTCCTCCTCGGCATCACCAGCGGCGGCAGGACGACGCCCTTGGAGCTGCTGATGATCACGGGGCGACACGAAGCGTCACGGGAACGGGGAGGGGGTCAGATCGTGACGTTCGCGGTTCGAATCAGCCAGCCCGCCCTGGTCAATACTGCGGATGTATAAACCATGACCGTGCTACGTACTGACTACCGCTTCTCAGCGGACGTTAAAGATCCCGTGACGTTATTCGTAACGGGAAGGCCATCGCGTGTACCGGCGTGCCTACACACTACTCGACTGGGATCACAGCGCTCCTCGCTTGCCATTCAGTCTCCCTGCGCAGCCGTTTCAACATTGAGAAAGTCTCTCAAACTCCGCCCACTGCCTCCGTGCACACAGCAGCAGCAGCCGCAGCAGCAGCAGCCGCAGCAGCAGCCGCAGCAGCAGCAACCGCAGCAGCAGCCGCAGCAGCAGCAGCCGCAGCAGCAGCAGCCGCAGCAGCAGCAGCCGCAGCAGCAGCAGCAGCAGCCGCAGCATCAGCCGCAGCAGCCGCAGCAGCAGCAGCCGCAGCAGCAGCCGCAGCAGCCGCAGCATCAGCCGCAGCAGCCGCAGTAGCCGCAGCAGCAGCCGCAGCAGCAGCAGCAGCAGCCGCAGCAGCAGCAGCCGCAGCCGCAGCAGCAGCCGCAGCAGCAGCCGCAGCCGCAGCAGCCGCAGCAGCAGCCGTATGAATGGGCTCACCACACAGCTAATGGGCTCTCCAGTCAATCCACGATCCGCAGGTGGCATGAGAGTCGTGGTGAGGTAAAGTTGTGGAGACTTCGTGGAAAAGTTGATCGACGGAAGGCCACGTGAGCTCCGTCCAGTGGAGGCCTCTTACCCCAGCAGTGACGTGAGCGAGACAGCTCAAGGCTGCGCCTTGATATTTTAACCATTTTATATAACTTGTCTATGCTATATAAACACATTTTTTTACTATTTTTATTTTACCATGTAAGGCCCCCTGAACTTTCTAGCTCTTTTGCAGAAGCGACCTGGTGATCACCGATAATAGCTCAACGAAGTGGGACTCATCACGTGGAAATTTACTGCAGCCAAATCATCTCAACGCATGTTGACTATAAACGTGGAGGGAAAGACCGGAAGACGCGGAGAACAATTCACGCGACCACTGGGAGAGAGACACGCAAACTCCAAATATACAGCAGCAGGCGTGAGAGTCGGGTTCGAATCCACGACCTCCCGCATAGCAGGCGAGGTAGTTAACATCTCGCCACGAATCCGTGGGTCTGCGGCGGGCACCTGTGGCGCGGGGAGGCCTTGGCGAGGCCCCCGGCGCCGTAGGGGAGCCGCTTCAACTTCTCGGTGCCCGTGGCCACGTACGAGTGGCCGTTCTCCAGCTCGGAGCCGTCCCACACCAGCTGGCCCGACGGGGAGTACAGCCTGCGCCACAGGCGGGCAGCGTGAGCGCTACGCCGGTGCTCGGTGTGCGTGTGTCTGTGTATCTACCTGGGGGAGCGGTAGTGTAGCGGTTAGCGTGCTGCGCTACGAACCTGGCGACACGGGTTCGATTCCCGCTCACGGCCAACACCAGTGACGATTATCTGAACCGGTCCTGGGCCTCCCCTAGGTCGACTCAGCCTCACATGAGTACCTGGTGCGATGTTTAAACATCGCCCCTAGGGAGACAAATGCGGTCGGGCGTGGTGCTGGCCACCCACCCCTTCGTGTGCCGTTCCGGCCTTCATAGGTGCTGGCTAACAGCACTCGCCCCAAAAGCCTGTTAAGTTTCGAAGGGGGTGTTTGTCTTTGTGTGTCTCTCTGTGTCTTCTTTCGCACCGTACGTAGCCGACCGTGCTAATCGGAGGTGCTGTGTGCATGTGCCACGTCTATGGTGGGGAGCGGTAGTGTAGTGGCCAGAGCGCTGTGCTACGAACCCGGCAACAGGACTTGGATTCTCAGTGACGATTATTTGCACCGGTTCTGTGCCTCTGGGCTTCCCCTAGGTCGACTCAGCCTAAAATGATAACCCTTTGATGTGTGTAAATATTGCCACTTGGGAGACAAAGGTGGCCGGGCATGGCGCTGCTCACCCACCCCCTCAGCATTCATAAGTGCTCGCTAACAGCACTTGCCCTAACAGTCTGTTAAGGGTGTGTGTTCGTGCGTGTACCTGTGTAGGGATAGTGGAGGTGATGGTGAGATATGGGGCATTGGTGAGTGATTGGTGATTGACGAGGTGTGATTTGGTGAACGATTAAAGGGGAGTGAGTGATTGATGAGAGCGCTTGGCGGCGAGCCCCGATGTGAGCGACTGGAGCGACGATGGGAGGGACGTGTGGTTGGCACCTTCGCACGGCGCCTGTCCGCAGATGCACCTTCTCCGTCACGATGGCGAGCACGTGCTGCCAGTCGGAGAGGGCGCGCGCTGGCACCAGCAGGCGCACCGCGGCGCTCAGCGCGTCCCCGTTCGCGTACACGCTGCAGACACAGGGACACGTGCTGGTCACGAGCAGCAGCGCCTGTGTCGGGCCGGCACGGAACACGAGGGGTGGGTGGCCAGCACGACGCCCGGCCGCCTTTGTCTCCCTATTGGCGAGGTTTACTACACACTGCACCAGGCCCAGGAACCAATTCAGATAATCGTCACGATTATTGGCCGTGAGTGGTAATCGAACTCAGGTTGCTGGGTTCGTAGCGCACAGCGCGCTAATCACTGTACCACCGCTCCCTACGCTGCAACACGCACATGCACACGCACGCATATGGTGGTGATAGTGGAGGTTGTGGTGGTGATGGTGGAGGTTGTGGTGGTGATGGTGGAGGTTGTGGTGGAGGTTGTGGTGGTGGTCATGGTGGTATCGATGGTGGCGGTTGTGGTGGTGGTATTGACGGTGGAGGCTGTGGTGGAGCTTGTGGTGGTGATTGTGGAGGTTGTGGTGGTATTGATGGTGATTATGGTGGTGGTGGTGAGACGGTGAGAGTTGGTTCTTCGTGGCCAGCTGTGATTCATGTGACAGCTGCGATGCGTGGGATGGAAGGTGTCGTGTGGCGAGGTCCGAGAGGGCCGCGCGCCCTGACCCCGCTGACCTACTGAGTCCGAGCTCACCACTCACAATATGGTGACGGGCTCCTGCTGAGGTTTGCTCCACTTGGCTGAGGCCACGATTCTGCTGTGAGCCACGGGCCGGATCTGACAACACGCGAGACGCACGGGATAACCAGTTGCATGCAACGCACGGCATCACGAGTTGCACGCAAGGCACGGGATCACGAATTGCACGCAACGCACGGGATCACGAGTTGCACGCAACGCACGGGATAACGAGTCAATCGGCAGAGTCGGGTTCGCTCGCACCGGTGCTGTTGAGCTGCCCCGACGTTTCGAGGCAAGGACCTCCCCTTACTCTCCGTGAGACCGGGGTCCAAGTTGGACGCGACAACTGCACAGCACAGCGACGGCGCCGAGCAAGCGCGAGTCGCGAGCCACCTCCTCGGAACAGCCCCTCGAGCGCCGCGAGCGCCCTCCGTGGCACGCCAGGCGCCCTGGCCCCGTCCGCGAGGCGAATGATCGAATTGATGACCAATCAATCAATTAATGAGCGCGCCACGCGGGGTGCCACAATGGGCAGGTCGCGCGGGTGAGCGGCTGAATGGGAAAGCGGCGGCGTCCCTCTGTGGAGGCCATTGCGAGCGGCTAATGATGCATCTCGCCTGCTCCCAGCAGATAGCCCGGCCCGCTCCACCCTCCTCCTCCTCCTCCTCAACTCCCTCCCTCTCTACATCACTCACTCTTGCCATACTCACCCCACCCCCCTCTCTCTCCTCACCTATTACCTTCAATCCCTTTCACTAACTCTCTGACCTCCCTCACTACTCGCCCTGCTCACCAACTCCCTCCCTTAGCTCCCTCCTCACATCCCTCTCCGTCCTGCCTCACCTCTCTCCCTCCTCACCTCCCGCTTTCCCTCCTCACCACCCTCTCTCCCTCCTCACCCTCTCCCCTGTTTTTCTCTCCCCGTCTTCCTCTCTTCCCGTACCCACTCACCGTAAGACGTTGCTAAATCCGCGCTGCTATTTCTCCACCACCACCACCATCATCATCAGCCGCCATGCTCTACCCACTGCTGGACAAAGGTCTGGCCACGCCGGGCGGCTCGTGGGATAATATTTCAACCATACTTCACCGCGGTGGTCTCTCTGCGGTTGATTAAGCAAACATAGAGGCGAGATCATAGAAGGTACAGCGACACAATGTATCTTGCACTGCCTCTTGCTACCCATAGCGACCCGGCATGCACGATGGCCGGATATCCGAGGGAAATCCAGGCTCAAGCCGGCTTAGCTTCCTAGATCTGCGAGGTCGGATGCATTATGGGTGCTTTCGCCATATGATCACACACACACGCACAAACACAAATCTCCCCCGCGTAGCCGTTGCATGTGTATGTATTATCTACGTTGAACCTCGTTCGATCCGTACCTGGCCAACCTTGCTAATCGATTGTGGGATTATTGGCGCAGCTGCCATTAGCGAGCATCTCGTACGAAGGCCGACACAGCACACGACTAAGGTACAACGACCAATTCCACGTGTTTCCCCTCCACCACAGCAGCGTAGTAACTACATTACTGTATTATTATAATGATCAGCTGAGGGTTGTGCGGCAATCGTTGAGGTGGGTGCCCCGGTGGTAGATGTGTCTCGCGGCTCCCCTCGCCCCCATCACCCCACGTGGTCCCCTCGCCCCCATCACCCCACGTGGTCCACTCGCCCCCATCACCCCACGTGGTCACTCGCCCCCATCACCCCACGTGGTCCCCTCGCCCCCATCATCCCACGTGGTCCCCTCGCCCCCATCATCCCACGTGGTCCCCTCGCCCCCATCATCCCACGTGGACCCCTCGCCCCCATCATCCCACTTGGTCCCCTCGCCCCCATCATCCCACGTGGTCCACTCGCCCCCATCATCCCACGTGGTCCACTCGCTCGCCGTCTCGGCCACTGCACGCTGGAGGGGCGCGCTCCTCCGTCTGCGCACACCGCAGCCACCGCAGCAGCAGCAGCTCCCTGGCGACCTCTTTGCAGGAGAATTGACGCGCGTCTCATGCAGTACATATCCCAGACACGCAGTTCTCTGTCCAATGTTCACCCCCTGCCCCCACCCTCCACTTTGATCCCCATTCCCAACCACCTTGACCCCACCCCCCCCTCAACGCGTCCACCTCCTCCCTCGGCGAGGCCCTTGAGGCCACGCGCTGAAGGACATTGGAGGGGGGGGGGCGGGGGGTTGCGCTGCAGCGTTACGAGGACCCCCAGGCGTGGAGGGGCCGCATGGGGGCTGCTGTGCTGGGGCCTCGTCACCCTCGTGACGACTCGTCAGCCTCGTGGCGCGAGAGAGCGGTGGGGCAGGAGAACCGTTCCCGGCCGCCTTTGTGGGATTGATTTTTGTTGTTGTTGACACATCGCGCACCAAGTACTCGTTTAAGGCCGAGTCGACCCACGGGAGGGCACAGGACCGGTGGAAATATTCATCACCGTTGTTGACTGTGGGAGGGGAATCGAACTCGGGTCGCCGGGGTCATAGAGCCACGAGCTAATCACTGTAGGCTGAGTCGACCTAGCAGAGGCCCAGGACCGGTTCAGATGATCGTCACTGGTGTTGGTGACCGTGAGCAGCGCAGCGCGAACCGCGACCCCGGGTCTCTGTGACCCCGGGTCTCCGTGACCCCGGGTCTCCGTGACCCCGGGTCTCCGTGACCCCGGGTCTCCGTGACCCCGGGTCTCTGTGACCCCGACCCAGGGCAGTCGCGTCCAGGTGACGCGGCGCGTGGTGGGGAGGCGTCTGGGACGTCTGTGCCGATTTGCGAGTGGAGGTGATGGTGGTGGTTGATGATGATGATGTTAAGTCATCTATGATGGGACGATAATCATTCGCTGTTGTTTACACTCCTGCTGTTTGGGAGCGGTGCCCCCCCCCCATGCCCCCGCTTAGGGGCCCCCCACCGCTACCCCCACCCCGCCCCTCACCTGCACCGCGTCTCTGTGCAGGGACCGCTCCCTTTTTGTCGGGACGATCTGGGAGTAACTGTGGGGAGAGGGACACGGGGAGAGAGACACGGGGAGAGAGACACGGGGAGAGAGACACGGGGAGAGAGACACGGGGAGAGAGACACGGGGAGAGGGACACGGGGAGAGAGACACGGGGAGAGGGACACGGGGAGAGAGACACGGGGAGAGAGACACGGGGAGAGAGACACGGGGAGAGAGACACGGGGAGAGAGACACGGGGAGAGAGGCACGGTGAAAGAGACACGGGGAGAGAGACACGGGGAGAGAGGCACGGGGAGAGAGGCACGGTGAGAGAGACACGGTGAGAGAGACACGGGGAGAGAGACACGGGGAGAGAGACACGGGGAGAGAGGCACGGTGAGAGAGGCACGGTGAGAGAGACACGGTCAGAGAGAAACGGGGAGAGAGACACGGGGAGAGAGACACGGGGAGAGAGACACGGGGAGAGAGACACGGTGAGGGAGGCACGGGGAGAGAGACACGGTGAGGGAGGCACGGTGAGAGAGGCACGGTGAGAGAGGCACGGTGAGAGAGACACGGGGAGAGAGACACGGGGAGAGAGACACGGGGAGAGAAACACGGTGAGAGAGACACGGTGAGAGAGGCACGGGGAGAGAGAGACACGGGGAGAGAGAGACACGAGGAGAGAGACACGGGGAGAGAGACACGGGGAAAGAGACACGGGGAGAGAGACACGGGGAGAGAGGCACGGTGAGAGACACGGGGAGAGAGACACGGGGAGAGAGACACGGGGAGAGAGACACGGTGAGAGAGACACGGGGTGAGAGACACGGGGTGAGAGACACGGGGAGAGAGACACGGGGAGAGAGACACGGGGAGAGAGACACGGGGAGAGAGACACGGGGAGAGACACGGGGAGAGAGACACGGGGAGAGAGGCACGGTGAGAGAGACACGGGGAGAGACACGGGGAGAGATACACGGGGAGAGAAACACGGGGAGAGAGACACCGGGAGAGAGACACGGGGAAAGGGACACGGGGAGAAAGGTACGGTGAGAGGGACACGGGGAGAGAGGCACGGTGAGAGGGATAACGCAAAAGATGTATCTTCTGTTAAACTGGAGTTGACGGACAAGCGCAGAGCGACACAAACACACCGGGTGCTCGGGCTTGTTGCCTTGATGGTCACAGCGCGGTCACCAGTGACAGAATACAAAGGTCCCCCATATAGCCTTAGAAGACTGTTAGGACAAGTGATATTAGCGAGATCATATGAAGGCCGGCATGGCACACGCCGGGGTGGGTGGCCAGTACCACGCCCGGCCGCCTTTGTCTCCCCAGTGGCGATGCTTACACCCCACACCAGGTACTCATTTGAGGCTGAGTCGACACAAACACAAAAGTCAGGCACAGACACACAAACTGACACACACACTGATACACTCACACACTGACACACACTGACACACACACACACACACTAATAAACTCACACACATCGACACACACTGATACACTCACACACTGACACACACACACACTGACACACACAATACACACATACTGACACACTGACACACACACACTGATACACTCACACACAATACACACAATACAAACTGACACACTCACTCGATCTTCTTGAACGTCTCGCTGCCCGCAGCCACGTACGCAGCCCCCGGGCGCAGCGCGTCCAGGGACCGGACCCGGTGCCCCTCGGCCGGGGTGTAGAGGCGTCGCACGGCGCCGTAGGGCGCCTGCAGACCCCGCGTCACCTGCAGGGGGCAGGGGGGGGGGCAGGGGGGCGGGGGGGGCAGGGGGGGGGGGTGGGGGCGGGGGCAGCTCGCATCAACGACACGACAAAGATCCCCTATACAGCCTCCACAGACTGTTGGGGCAAGTGCTGAGGTGGGGTGAGTGGTGGTGGGGGGGGGCATGCTGGACTACTGCTGGATGAAGTCTGGGGGGGAGTGGGGGATGGGGTGAGTGGTGGGGGGGGAGTGGGGGATGGGGTGAGTGGTGGTGGGGGGGGCGTGCTGGATCCACTGCTGGATGAGTCTGGGGGGGAGTGGGGGATGGGGTGAGTGGTGGGGGGGGGGGGAGTGGGGGATGGGGTGAGTGGTGGGGGGGGGGAGTGGGGGATGGGGTGAGTGGTGGGGGGGGAGTGGGGGATGGGGTGAGTGGTGGGGGGGGGAGTGGGGGATGGGGTGAGTGGTGGGGGGGGGAGTGGGGGATGGGGTGAGTGGTGGGGGGGGGGATGGGGTGAGTGGTGGGGGGGGGGGCGTGCTGGATCCACTGCTGGATGAGTCTGGGGGGGAGTGGGGGATGGGGTGAGTGGTGGGGGGGGGGGAGTGGGGGATGGGGTGAGTGGTGGGGGGGGGGGGGAGTGGGGGATGGGGTGAGTGGTGGGGGGGGGTTCTGAACCTGCGCGAGGAAGGCCTCGAAGGTGGCCGCCTGCCGCTCGTTGAGCACGAAGCGGCGCCCCGGGAAGTGCGGGTCCCCGTTGCGGAACACGAGGACGCTGCGTGCCGGGGGCTGCGGCATGCGGCCCCGCGCGGGGGCGATCATCCTGCACCACCATCATCAACACCATCATCATCATCAACACCATCATCATCATCATCAACACCATCATCAATCATCATCAACATCATTAACATCATCAACACCATCATCATCAACACCATCATCATCATCATCAACATCAACACCATCATCATCAACACCATCACCACCATCATCAACACCATCATCATCATCATCAACACCATCATCAATCATCATCAACATCATTAACATCATCAACACCATCATCATCAACACCATCATCATCATCATCATCATTAACATCATCAACACCATCATCATCAACACCATCACCACCATCATCAACACCATCATCATCATCAACACCATCATCATCATCAACACCACCATCATCATCAACACCACCATCATCATCATCAACACCAGCACCATCATCAACACCACCATCATCAACACCACCATCATCAACACCATCATCATCATCAACACCAACACCATCATCAACACCACCATCATCAACACCATCATCATCAACACCATCATCATCAACACCACCATCATCATCATCAACACCACCATCATCAACACCACCACCATCATCAACACCACCATCATCAACACCATCATCATCAACACCAACACCACCATCATCATCAACACCACCATCATCGACACCATCATCATCACCGTCATCAACACCACCATCATCATCAACACCACCATCATCATCAACACCATCATCATCAACACCATCATCATCATCATCAACACAACCATAATCCTGCACCACCATCATCATCACCACCACCACCATCATCAACACCATCATCATCATCATCAACACCACCACCATCATCAACACCACCATCATCAACACCATCATCATCAACACCAACACCACCACCATAATCAACACCATCATCATCAACACCATCATTATCATCAAAAACACTACCATCATCATTATCAACACCACAATCATCATCAACAACACCATCATCATCAACACCACCATCATCAACATCCTCAACACCGGAGCCATCCTCAACACCAGCACCATCAACACCCCCATCATGAACATCAACAACATCAACACCACCATCATCAACACCAGCACCATCATCATTGCCACCATCATCAACATCATCGAAACCACCAACACTATCAACATCACCAACACCAGCCCCTTCGTCAACACCACCAACACTAGCAGCACCATCATTGTCACCATCGTCATCATCATCATCAAAATTAGCAACATCATCACCATCATTATCAACATCAACGCGATAATCGTTACCATGATCAGCTCATTAACTATCGTCCCATTCACAATCAACGTCAATACCATCACCACCGTCGTCATAGCAACGGTTAAAGTCATCACCACAACTATCAACACGAACACAACCAACCCGATCATCACCACCACCACCGCCACCATCATAATCACCAAACACAATTAGCACCATGACCACCATCATCCACATCACCATCGTCACCATCATCACTACAGATATAACCATCACCACCACCACGGGCACATCATCAATGCATTACCATTCACATAATCTCAATCTGCAACATTATCAGCACAACCATCCCAAAATCATCGTCATCACCATTACAACCAAAATCATCGTCATCACCATTACAACCAAAATCATCATCATCATCACGCCTGCATTACCCTCACCCTCCGATAAACTCACCCCTACCTAACACTGACCCCACCTAACACTGACCCCACCTAACATTCACCCTACCTAACACTCACCCCTATCTAACACCCCTACCTAGCACTCACCTGCACCTAACACTCACCATACCTATCACTCACCCCTATTTAGCACTCACCTGCACCTAACACTCACCCGGGCGCCCGCTCACTCAGCCACTCACTCACTCACCTGCCTTTGAACACCCAGTTGAGCTTCTGTTTAAACTCCTTCATGGGGTCGCGATGAGCGTGAGGGGGAGGCTGGGTGGATGGGATGAGAGAGCGAGGCGAGAGCGAGGAGGGAGCGCAGTGGCGGAGTGGGCGACTCGTGCGGATGAAGCGACGCGTTATACCAACCCTCTCCACGCGAAGCCCTCCTCACCCCCCCCCTCGTCCCCCTCCTCTGCACACGCGTGATTTGTTCCGATAGCTGCCCGACAAGCGATCACTTGACACCCAAACGCGTCGATGGCTCTTCTCAGCCGCCGCCGCGTGCACTCTCAGAGCCGCACTCCGCTCTGAGTCGCTGGCTGCCGTGGGCGGCTCTCGGGGGCCTGTGAGGGGTGGGGGCAACCCCCCCCACCACAGACCCCCCCCCCCCACCACAGACCCCCCCCCCCACCACAGACCCCCCCCCCACCACCACAGACCCCCCCCTGAATCCGCCACTAGGGGAGGGAGGGGGCATTGTATATCGCCTCACCCCACCACCCCTCTCCCCAGTGGAGTATGCTGTTCCTGTACAAGCACGTGCTGTTTGTTACTGACCACTCGGCGTTTGGAGCCTTTGCTCGGGAACTGTGTTGGGGGGTTGGGGGTGATGGACATTTCAGGACAAGTGACAACGATCTGTTGCCCCCACTGGAAGAGACGCTAAATGTAAAAACCGGTGCTTGGCAAAAAAAAAACATCCGTCACTTCACCAAACATCTGTCACTTCGCACCTCCCATTAGCACGGTTGGGTACTGGTGCGAAAGAAGTTCAACACACATACATTGCTTCAAGCAAGGCTGACTTCTGCTAATGAGACACTGCGTGTCGGAAAAATACAAATGAAGCGGTAAACAAGCACACGATGCACACGATGATTCAATTAGCCAACGATCATCCATTCCACTTGACAGCGTCCAATTAGTATAATTAGCTCAAGTGATAATTTACATATTTGGCCGATGATTGACAAAAGCGAGGCTTCTAATTTCCATTCACGGGTGTAACGAGGCCACACATCCACCACTGGGGGTGTGACGATGCCACACAAAGATCCTCCGTCGAGGATGAACAGACTGTAGGGACAAGTGCTGTTAGCGAGCACCTATTAAGGCCGGTATGACACACGAGGGGGTGGGTGGCCAGCGCTATTTGTCTCTCTGGTAGCGAGGTTTACACACCGCATCAGGTACTCATTTTAGGATGAGTCGACCTAGGGGAGGCCCATAACCAATTTAGATCATTGTCACTGGTGTTGGCTATGAGTGTGAAGCGAACTCGGTTCGCTGGGTTCGTAGCGCAGCGTGCTAACCGCTGCACCACCGCTCCCCAGGGTCACCAGTGGCTCCACGCACGCAAAAAACAAACCCACCGTGCGCACACGTTCACCTTGTCCACCCAAGTCGGACGCATCACTTCCTACTCCGACAATCGTGTGGCGAGCACTCCTGTATGGTAAATCAACTCACCTCGTTCGTCACTAACGCTGTGCGTGTGTATGTAAATGGGAACACATATATAATAAGCGACGTTTCGGGTAATGGGCCTTCTTCAGAACGCATAAAAAACAAGGTGAGTTGAAACATACAGCGCCTCCTCCCCCCCCCGAGTGTGCGGATACAAAAAAACATCCGTCAATTGGAGCGGTGTTGGCAGTAGTTCTGTGACATCAGCTTCCGCGGGCCATTCCCCGATGCGCTGCTTACTGTGAGAGCTCGGAATGGCAAGTGCGCAGAGAGATGGGGGGCGCACATACTGAAATAGAAACAGAGACACCGAGACAGACAGAGAGACTTAGAGACAGACCATGACAAAAGACTGGCAGCAGACAGAGAAAGGCAGACAGAGAGACAGGCGGGTAGAGAGACAGGCGGACAAGCAGGCAGAGAGAGACAGAGATACAGACGGACACGCAGACAGAGAGACAGAGAGACCGGCAGAGAGATAGGCAGACAGGGAGACAGGCGGACAGGCAGAGGGACAGGCAGAGGGACAGGCGGACAGGCAGGCAGGCAGAGAGACAGGCAGAGAGATAGGCAGGCAGGGAGACAGGCGGACAGGCAGGCAGACAGGGAGACAGGCGGACAGGCAGAGGGACAGGCAGAGGGACAGGCGGACAGGCAGGCAGGTCTGGGCGGGCCACGGCGCGGCCGCTTGAGGAGGCGGCGGAGCGGGGCGGCCCCGCCCGGGCGTGGTCGCGATGCGGCCCAGCGGCCGCTCCAGAGGCCCTCGTGGCGGTCGGGTTCGACTCCCCCCCCCCTTCTGTCACCCAGCCCCCTCCTCGCCTCGTGCTTCAACATTCTCTCCCCCCCCCCCCTCTCTCTCGTTGTTTTGGTTTTGTGTGCGAATTGCCATTGCTACCAAAGGCCACACTCGGCTGCGCGCCGGCGACTCGAGGTGCGCGTTGTTGATGTTGTTGATGTTGTCGATGTTGTTGTTGTTGATGTTGGAGTGGAGGTGAGAGCTCGTGGACGCGGCCCGTCACGACAGTCGTCGACTCGCAGCGCCGCGCCACCGCCACCCTCCCCCCTCCGCGTCGTCCTCGTAGAGGGGGGGGGGGGCGACTCAGAGGCGCCACGGGGAGGAGGAACCACGGACGGCAGCAGCAGCAGCGGCAGCCACGCGGTGACGAGGAGCCGGCGCCAAATCCCACCAAAGCTCTGCCATCCTCTATATATAGTCACGCGTTAGCGGCCAATTAGTGAGTGTCTATGGGCCCCTGGTTTGCCTCAACAGTTTGTAGGGGCAAGTGCTGTTTGCCGGTACCTATGAAGGCCGGCACGGCACACGAGGGGGTGGGTGGCCAGGACCACGCCCGAACGCCTTTGTCTCCCCAGTGCTAGCGATGTTTACTACACACCGCACCAGCTACTCAATGGAGGCTGAGTCGAGGCCCAGGAGCGGATAAGATATTCGCCACTGGTGTTGGCCGTGAGCGGGAATCGAACTCGGGTCATCTGGTTCTAAACCACTGCGGTGACATCACCACGGCGCTCGTGCCAGGCTAGGTGCACCTTGAGGACATCACGTGAAGTGTGGAAGTCTCACTGGCAGGAGGTCACGGGACAGACCCAGATGCCATGGGTTGACTGACTGAGATGACTGGCTGATGCTCCATCTATGCCCCCTACTGTGCCAACTTGCTGTGCTTTAGCCACCCGGCGCTCCGCTCGTTGTTGTGAGCGTCGCCCCTCTGTCCCCGTTGTTATTAGAGGGCGACTGCCTCCAACCGACTAGCAGCGTCCTTCACGAGCCTCCTCCTCCATCGAGGCCCGTCTTGACACCCCTGGTACCGGTCATCGGCAAGTCCACTCAGCTTCACATCCTCCTGTGCCCCATCAGCTCCATCTCTTCTCGAGGCCGTGCGGCGCACGTTTAGCCGCCTCGATTCAGCCGAACGCCGCTCTCCACACACAGTGCACCTGCAGGGTGGACCATGTCACTCACCAACACACACACACAGTGCACTGCACGAGTGGACCATGTCACTCACCAACACACACACACACAGTGCACTGCACGAGTGGACCATGTCACTCACCAACACACACACACACAGAGCACCTGCAGGGTGGACCATGTCACTCACCAACACATACACACACAGTGCACCTGCAGGGTGGACCATGTCACTCACCAACACACACACACAGAGCACCTGCAGGGTGGACCATGTCACTCACCAACACACGCACACACAGAGCACCTGCAGGGTGGACCATGACACTCACCAACACACACACACAGAGCACCTGCAGGGTGGACCATGTCACTCACCAACACACACACACACAGAGCACCTGCAGGGTGGACCATGTCACTCACCAACACACACACACAGTGCACTGCACCCACTCCACCACCACCCCACTCGCCACACTCTCTCTCCACGGCGTCGGCTGTGTTTTGTCATTTTATTGCACAAGACACACCCCCTTCGAGAACAGCATCAACCACATGGGAAACAGTGACGCTCAGAGAAAATACAACTAGAGTGGGGGTCCCTACAATGATGATTACACACAGACCTAGAACACCCGGTGCCGCTGCCTACACGGGCACCGGGGGGGGGGGGGTACCGGGGGGGGGGGGGACACCACGCGCCCCCACCCCCACCACCCCCCCACCCTCACCTATACGCGACGTCTAAGCGACCTACACGAAGCGGATGTCACGACGAACATTGACTCCCAAAAATCCATGGCACGATCTACTCAAGTGTACAAAAATAATAGCGATCAATTATAAGAAGAAGAAGAATAAACAACAGTTGTTGTCTTCCTACTGGCGAGGTTGTCTTTTTTTACCACGAGTGATAAATTATGATAATTACCGCAGTGACGACTGTGTGTTGTCATTAATATTTATCAGCTGTAATAAATAAAAAATGTAGAAAAAACACAACGACGCACACGCACGTACATTATAGACGATTTAAACAATAAAAAATAATCTTTTCTCTATCACAAACTGCAATAAACTTTTTTTTCAAAAGAGAGATATCCTGAGACGGTAAAGAGATTGATTTCAAAAATCTGTAACTAAGTTCATATTCGATTTTTGTTTCCCTCTTGATTCGTAAAAAACCAAAAGAATAAAAAAATCAGAGTATTAAATACATAAATACATGTAAAGTTCAGACTGTTAAATAAATAACTAAACACGAGTAATTTACATGAAGGGCTCCGTCCACCTCGCCTGAGAGCGATAAAACATAAAAATTGCAATCGCAAATATTTAAAAGATATTACACGTGGATTTTATATCATCGTCATCATCATCTTCATACACACTGCTTATATATTAACATCATTAAATATATATATATATATCACGTCTGTGCCCCTAGCCTTCATCCACCGTGCCCCCCTTCCAATTGGAAGAGAGAGCCGACTGCTACGGCGTGTGTGTTGTTTAAAGAGTAAAAAATATCAAAAAAAATAAATCATATTCCATTGAGTGTGTTGTTGTTGGTGTCGTGATACCACTACAGGTCCCGCCTCACGCACAGCGACACGGTCTGGAAACCTCGCTAACGTGATCACGGTCAACCCGGCTCCATCACCACAGTTGTACAAAGTCATCTCTGGCAATGGGGGAACTGTTGAGAAAATATCCAACTCTCACTCACCAGTCGAGCAGGAATCACCATCACCACCACCACAGCGATACACTCCCTCCCGTACCCTCCTGTCATTAAGAAAATAGTACCTGCTCGTGAATGCTTTTTTAATCTCTCTAAACGTTTAAGGACCGTGGGACCCCCACGGAAAAC